TCCAGACAGAATTGATGTTCATGAAAGAAGTTGCAAAGGGAGTTGAACTCAAATGCTCATATCTCGATATTTTAATATATGTGTGATTTAATTGTAAAAATAAATTATTTTCTAAAATAGCAAGCTTTTTATTCGCTTAAAACTTTTTGAATCGTATTTGTGAAAAATTCATTTGAAATACTTTTCGTTTCAAATGTTTTACTCTAGATAATTCAACATAAACATTTTGAAAAAAAAAATCAAGCAATACGAGGATTTATTAAGAGTTTTTTTGTGTGCTTTTAGCTTCAGGAGGAGTCGATTTCGTGGGAACATTCAATCGAATTTGGGATAACCACTTGTCAGAGCTGGTCCAGTGTAGGAAATGTGGAAGAAAGTTTTTCCCGGATAGGGTGCAAACGCATGAAAAGGCTTGTGCTGGTTTGACAATAAAATTGAAGAATAAGTAAACTGTTTTGTTTAATTTTACCGAGGCTTCATCTTTACAGGGTGGCTGGAATTCGAGCCTCATCATTGGGATCACGTGAACCGTAAGAGAAACAGGGTCGGTTTAATCACGGCAAAGTTGCGCAAATGCCGTTTTGAAATTTGCAAAATTCCGGATACTTCCAACATTCGAGACTTCAATTTTATTCATTTACTAGCAGACCTCGCGAACGTTGTTTTGCTATATACATTATTTCTATAATATATTTTTCCAGTTCAATATTCATCAAGACAGTATTATTATTTTATTTTCTACTTCTTTCTAGTTTATTCGCTATCTATTAAAGCGTGTTTCGCGTTTCGCTTCAGTTTTTCAAACTACCATTTATTTCATCTTCTTTTCAGTTCACTTGAATTTCCCATTTTTGACGAAAGAATCATATCCAACTCCTGAAACCCCAGATGAAAATGTTGAATAGAATCATAACATAATTACAAAACTCGTCCGTAATATTGAATCTACCAAATTCCCAAATTTTGACGAAGGAATCATTACTTTCGATCCCGAAAACGCCCACTTACAAATTTTGAAAAGAATTGGTACATAATTACAGAACTCGTCCGGTATATTATTGGTTCCACCGTCTTGAATTTCCAGATCCTGTCCTCTCCAAATTTTGACAAAAAAATCATAATCTCCGACCCCGAAAACACCCAGATAACAATTTTGATAGTCGGATCATAATTACAATACTCGTCCGCCATATATTGGGTATCGTCATCTTGAATTTCCCAATTTCGACGAAAGAATCATAATCTCCGAGCCCGAGAACCACCAGATACCAAATTTGAATAAAATCGGATCCTAATTACAAAATCGCCATTTTGAATTTCTCAATTTTGACGAGGGAATCGCATAATCCCCGATCACGAAAACCCCTAGGTACCAATTTTGAAGAGGATCGGATTATAATTACAAAACCTGTCCGCCATAAATTGGTTCCGCCATCTTGAATTTCCAAATTCCGCCCAAATTTTCAAATTCCGCCCGCATTTTAAAATTCTGACAAAATAATCATAATCTCTGACCCCAAAAACCCCCAGACACCAATTTTGAATAGAATCGGAGCATAATCACAGATCGTCCGATATGTTTAGATCCGCGTCATCTTGAATTTCCTGATGGTAGCCTATTCAATACAAACAAACAAATAATCAAATATTTCCTCTTTATAATATTATATCAGTATAGATGACTCTATTTGAATAGATTTAACAAAGCATCAAAAAAAATTAATGAAATGAAAAACATATTGCTTTTTTGAGGCCGGTTCTTTTGACAGGACAATGGTTTTCGAAAATCAAACGGCATCTTATTATTTTCAAAATATATATCTCAGATATAAAAACATCAATTAAGCAATGTTAAGAGTAGAAGAAATAAATAATATAATAATATGATGAATAAATAAATATGAATAAACGAATAAAGACAAATACCTATATCAATATCATTCAAATTAAACAAACAAAAAATATGTTGTACTTTTAGTTCGTTAGGTATAATAGGTTATAGGTCTGTAGATATAGTTACAAAATTAATCGATCTGGTATACCTACCTACCTAAGATCCAGCAAACCTGCTGCTCTATTACACCATACATATACGGTTATATGCAAAAATATCACAAATAGTTGAGTAAATATTATATAAGTATATAGGCATTGAAAAAACCAATTTAGATTAATCTGAATCGGCATCAAGTTCAATAATTCGCCTTCGTTTTTTCAGTCTTCTCTTTGGAGGAATCATCCGTTTCAAAACTGCGTTTCTTCTTTCCTGTAATTCCATTATTTGTTCTTCACTAAAGAACAATTCTTCATCATCTTCATCTAGTTCAATATATTCCAGGTCCCCATTTTGATATCGCTATATTAAATCAATATAAACAGAGAGTGTAGAATATGTGAACATCATCAATGATAATTAGGTATACATGGTTATACCTAGGTATTCTCTGAAATTTACCTACTAACCTTGATTTTTTTAGTTCGAAAGTCTTCTTCATTATCCGCCCAGTCCGCCAAAACATCTCTAATTCTCAGAATTACATCGAACAATTTACTATCTCCGATAGTGAAATAAGCATGATTATAAAACAAGTTGTAAATCCTTTGTTTATAATTCACCGGAAAAGAATCTCTTCTTACATGCCACCTCCGATAGGCCTTCAAGTACTCTAGAGAACATCGGAAAATCGTTTTTCTGCTGACATGTTCAATAATTTTCGATCGATCGAAAACAAATCTAATTTTTTCATGCGTGAATTTAGAAAATGAAAGTTCCGGTATCGAAAATATCTCCAAATCCTTATCCTCGAAAATCGACTTGAACTTTTCTTCTCTTGCTGATTCAAGTTCTTGTAGAATTTCTAATTCGTTTTGTTTATCTTCGAAAATTGACTTTGCTGAAAATTCATCATATTTTTCAATGTTTCCTTCCACTGTGATCAACAAATTCTTACCAATTCTTTCATCCTGACTATAAGTTGTTATCTCACTACGATAACTCATTTTGAATGAGAATTATTTTGATTTGACATTGAAAACCGAGATGTTTTTTCTGCCATCGAAATGAACGACTAAACATGACAAAAAGTGACTAGTGGAAGTTCCTTTCCGAGTTTAATGAGACAATAAACAACGAAAACAGGGTGGCCCTGATATGATGGAAACTATTGGAAACAGGGGACAGAAAATATTTTTTCTACAAGCGTGCGTGATTCACCCTATACCCGCACGCAATTTATTTTGGGAAGTGTAGTGCGGGAAATTTTTTCCCACACTAGTGCGGGAATAGTATATTGTGCGACAAGTGGGAAAAGTTCAACTTTTCTCACGAGTGTGAAAGTTTGTAGCACGAGGCCGAAAGGCGAGTGAGAAAATAAGTGGTTTTCCCAACATGTTGCACACTATATACTTTTCCTACTACTGCACTTATTCAAATAATCCGTGTAATGTAGCTTAATATGGTATTCATTTTATAATGTGGCACTATATATGCCACATTGAATATTGTGACCAAAGAGTAGACGCCTTTTCCTAGTTCCTCAAAGTATTTCAGAAAGTACCTAACACTTTCCGAAAAAGATTTTACTTCTGAATTTTTTTAGATTCCATAAATTCTTCGTTTATGCCAAAATTCATACTTTTTTCTTGTAATTTCCGGAAACAAGTCCAACTTTCGCAGCTTCTTATTCCATTATCTCTGTCTCTGGCGGTGTATTTTTTTAAATCGTCACATCTCGGTATATACACATCATATTATTTATTGTGGATTGTTGGAATAATATTTGATGGAAAATGCGATTTCCATCAAAAGCACTAATGAGAACTACCCAAAAGAATTTAAAAAACCACTGCGGGACATCCCCTGGATTCCCCAATAATGTCCTTGTACCGCGGAACAAAAAAAGGGACGTACCTAGGACATCTCTGTGTTGTTAGGGAAACAGAGGGTGATGAGTCATAACCATATATTTTGAGACAGGCTAAGGGCGGATTGTTTGGTCCAAAATATGACGGTAGGACCAAATATGCCTCAATAAAATGTCATTTAACAGCATCAACAATTATCAAAGCCGACTCTTCAAAAATGAAATGATATTTGATATCCCCTTCCGATGAGACTGTGAACTCTGTTAAATTGCGTTTTTCTCTAAAATAACGGATGAAAAATATATCGTGTTCAAACAAGAGTACCAATATTACGTAAAAATTATGTTTATGGCATATTTCCTAATCAATATCACTAGAAAGTTTCGTCAAAAAATGTTACTAGTCGATTTTATCATCAGGAATCATTATTACGTGTGGCGGCCCCTCTGTAACAAACTGTGCCGATGTTGATAAAAATTGATAAATATACAGAGATGGAATTATTAGCAGAAAACATTTTAAAAAAACTCGTTCTTTTTTATATTTGTCAACAGTTCTGTCCGCTTCTGCATGACATACCTACCTGGACTATTGTCGAATGAGACACACAGGAAGGTCTTGATTGATTTATCGTTGATTCAAGGTCGTTGATTCATGATGACATTTGCATGAAGCATTTGAGAGACGTTGTTAATCTGCTGTGCGTTTATACATATTTAATTTGTTTATATCCAAAAGACTCTACTCACTTGCAATCTCACGTGTCACGTAATCACGTCACGAGAGTGATTTAAAACCATAGAAATCTTATAGAAATCATATTATATATACGTGAGTATATATAATATGATTTCTATGTTTAAAACCAGAGATTAGTCAACCACAGTGGTTGACTAATAAATCACTGTTTACCTCTATGAATTTTCAGGTTCATTCGGGTTCGACCTATTATTGCCTATGAACTGACGTGGAACTGACATAGTTACTATTCTGTGGTTACGACCTGCTACAACTATGTACCTATTTAGTGATTTTGGTTTCTTAACGTTTGTTTTGCTGTTATATGCGAAGGTTGGTACGAGACTGTCATTCGTCATTCGTGTTCCGAGTTTGCGTGGCAGAAATTTTTTCTCGTTCTTTTACGGGAGTGCGCCATACTTGGCGTATCGTAGTTTTGATTGTGCATAAGGAAATCTCAAAACATCCAAGATGGTAAGTAACTTTATTCAATTTTTCTACATTCCAAATGTACTGCAGTAATCCATTTAATCGTCGGCCGACACATTTTTAATCTTACTCCAAATTTGTTGACTTTTTAAAGGATTGCACAACAGTATGAAAGTCTGAAATTAACAATGTTTACGTTTATTTTGATGTATTCTCCGAGTTTTTGCTATCAGTATTAAATTTCAACTTAGCAATAGTATTATAGTAGTTATTTTACAACCACAGACTTGAAAAAAATACTGTTTATTAACAACCTTAACAAGTGACATCAAATATGGTAAAGTGCTTCGAAACCCACATGTTGGCTGTTCACATCTGATTTCTAATATTTTTATTTTTTTAGGTGAACTTCACCGTAGACGAAATCAGGGTCATGATGGACAAAAAAAGGAACATCCGTAACATGTCCGTCATTGCCCATGTAGACCATGGAAAATCAACACTAACTGACTCCCTTGTATCTAAAGCTGGTATCATTGCTGGAGCAAAAGCAGGAGAGACCCGTTTCACTGATACTAGAAAGGATGAACAGGAACGTTGTATTACCATCAAATCAACGTGAGTGAGATGATTGATATATCTTGGTTCTTCATATCCTTTTTGATACTAGGTGCTAGGTGATAAAACAGATTGACTTGGATCCTGATAAGTAGGTGACGTATTTTTAACTTATTAATTGAAACATCAGCAGGTTCAGATAATAATGAAATTATATGCTGTTGCTGAGAGTGATCAGTATCTTTTTGTTTAATGATAACAGTTTGGTCACAGATTGGTTTGGTTATCATTTTTCTGATAAGGACCATGGATTGGAATTCCATTGAAATTTAAAGTTAACAAAATGGTATCTTATAGTTGAAGGTAGAAAAGAAAAGCTTTCATACCTGCATCAGTACCTTCATATTTTAAACCAACTACCTCCTTGGGATCTAATCCCTTGAATTTTATAGGGACCTACCTGCCTTCCTGAAGCTTGATTGATTGTTGAAGGTCATTCTTGAAAATGATCTAGCCTACTTATTTTTGTTTTTATTTTGAATAATTTCTGTTGTGTATGATGTTTCCTCTTCAGTACTTTGGGTTATGTATATTTTTTCAAATTCTGGATTTTGTCTGTATTGCAATTAAATCATTACAGAAATACATACTATTATGTATATAATGAAGGCTATTATACAGTTTATTATATTCTTGCACAGGTAACATGCATACTTGAAAACTCTTACCATGGAGTTTTAGTGTTTTTACTTTCTAATTTTTGAAAAACTATTCCATATGAGAATCATTAAATTATTTAAAGTTCTCCCTGTTTGTGTTGGATTTCATTGGAGGATTGTTATTTCTACATATTTTTTTTCTTGTTTTTGTTCTTTGATCATTCTTGAAAATGATTTTGCCTACCTGATTTTGATTCAATTATGAATTGTATTTGTCTCAAACACTAGTTTCTTGTGCTACAAGAAATCATACATAGGTTGAGGATTATTCATCTTTGTCTATCTGAATTTTCCATTAATTTCCTGGAGTTTTACTATCTAATTCAATTCTAGAAAAGCTATTCCACATTAGAATCATTTATCTGAAATTCTCCCAGTTTGTGTTGGATTCCATTTGAAGATTCTTATTTTGACATGTTTTTTTAGTTGTTCTTTGATCATTCTTGAAAGGAAGTGTATAGACTGCCGACCAGTCGGCAATCTATAGTTTTTGTATAGGCTGCCGACCAGTAGACTAAAATTATCAATTTAAGGGAAGAAAAAACATAATTTGAAAAAAAATCTTCTAAAAAGATGAGATATACTTATGCAAACACCTAACCTAACCATTTGTTGGAACAAAAACCTGATCAAAAAAATCTTTTGAACTAACAATGGAGGAAGGAAAAACTAGATTAGAAAACAATAAAATATAAAAAAACTATTCTATATGGGATTTGAACACAGGACCACAGGATTGACAAGTCAATGTCATACCACTAAGCTAACCATGAATCTTTTTGGTATACAGAAAGAATGTATTCCACTGAATGGTCGGCTGTTTAGAGAAAAAATATAGACTGCCGACCAGTTGGCATACTATACTTTTATTTTGGGTTGCCGACCGATTTTATACAGAAAGAATGTTTTCCACTGAATGGTCGGCAGTCTGGAGAAAAAGTATAGTTGGCCGACTGGTCGGCAGCCTATACACTTTCTTCTTGAAAAAGATTTTGCTCACCTGATTTTAGTGATTTTGATTCTATTATGAATTGTACAAGAAATCACATAGGTTGTGGAATATTCATCTCTCAATTTCCCTGTATTCTATTTGCTAATTGGAATTTTGAAAATTTTCAGTAGGTTCATTTCTTGTTTTTAGTGCCATCTCTATGTACTTTGAACTGGAAGACAAAGATCTTGTCTTCATCACCAGCCCTGACCAACGTGACAAAGACCAAAAAGGTTTCTTGATCAACCTGATTGATTCTCCCGGGCACGTTGATTTCTCTTCCGAAGTAACTGCCGCCCTACGTGTAACTGATGGGGCCTTGGTAGTAGTAGATTGTGTGTCTGGTAAGTTGAACCATCAAATATCAATATACAGGGTGTTTCCGAAATTGGGACAATAAATGAAAAGGATGATGAAAGAAGAAACAAAATGAAATGAAAGGATACAGTTTTGTCATGAAAAAAAAATATTTTGGATATTGAAAGATAGGAAAGTATCAATGATTTTTTCAATGTTGCCGGATGTTCAATAATAGTTGAAAGTTGTGGTATGGTGGGAGGGCACTTTTTTACAATTCTTTTTTGGCGTCTATGATGCCTCATTTTATTTTTTGCCCCAATTTCGGAAGCACCCTGTATGTGGAACACAACATCAAAGATATCAAATTTAGGACCCAAAACTAATTCAGACTGAAATTATAAAATATTCACAAAAATTGATTCTAAAATTTGAAGTAATTTGTGTGATGTATTGTATTCTGGATATTTCATTAAGGACTGATACTCCTAGTGAATCACCAACTATTGTGTAAAATTACTAAATTGAAAAGGAAATAGAAAGTGCTTAGAGTTTGGTCAGATTTCATTGAGTCAATATTTCAATTTGATTAGTATTTTCAATTGCTAATTGATGTAGCTGGCTCATATATAAAACTTCACCTTTTGCCCTGTTGGGAGTTTTATCAATACTCCCTTCAGTTTCCTACAGTGATACAGTGATTTTGAAATAATTCAGTGATTTTGAAATAGTAGGTAGATTATTTGAAAGTTCTGGTTGCCTTCTTGAAAGTCTGTTGCATATATGAAAATTGCAACAGTCTTAAAAATCTGCTGCATTCTTGAAAATGTGTTACAATCTTGAAAATCTGTTGCATCCTTAAAAATCCCTTGCATTCTTGAAAATGTGTTGCATTTAGGGATGAACCAGAATACCGGCGGTACCACTAAATCCGAAATCCGGTCGTTCTCAATATCACCAGACACTTGGGAAATAATTCATTGATCATTATTCGATGTATGACTGGGTGATTCAAAATCGCCAAGATCCGCGATTCGAATTTACCGCCTAAGCCAAAATTGACCTGATTGGTCTAAAATCTTGGCTATGCCTGTTATCTGGGCGTTTTGAATACGTGCGTTCCGGCGATCTGGTCTGGCCAGGGACCGGATCGGCAAAATACCCGATCCGGTGCATCCCTAGTTGCATTCTTAAGAATGTGTTACATTCTTGAAAATCGGTTGCATTCTCTAAATTCTGTTGAATTCATGAAATTTTCTTCTGATTTCTTGTATTTTCTTTCAATTTTTTATATCTTGAACCCTTCACATACTTCCAAACTCTTCTCATATCTCTCAATTCCTCGTCTTTCTGAAAAGGTGTGTGCGTCCAAACCGAGACCGTTCTCCGTCAAGCCATCGCCGAACGTATCAAGCCCATCCTTTTCATGAACAAGATGGACCGAGCGATCGGTTGCATTCTCGAAATTCTGTTGGTCACGAAATTTTCTTCTGATTTCTTGTATTTTCTTTTGATCTTTTTATATCTTGTCCCTTCACATACTTCCAAACTCTTCTCATATCTCTCAATTCCTCGTCTTTCTGAAAAGGTGTGTGCGTCCAAACTGAGACCATTCTCCGTCAAGCCATCGCCGAACGCATCAAGCCCATCCTTTTCATGAACAAGATGGACCGAGCGATCGGTTGCATTCTCGAAATTCTGTCGAAGTCACGAAATTTTCTTCTGATTTCTTGTATTTTCTTTCAATCTTTTTATATCTTGAACCCGTCACATACTTCCAAACTCTTCTCATATCTCTCAATTCCCCGTCTTTCTGAAGGTGTGTGCGTCCAAACCGAGACTGTGCTCCGTCAAGCCATCGCCGAACGTATCAAGCCCATCCTTTTCATGAACAAGATGGTCCGAGCGATCGGTTGCATTCTCGAAATTCTGTTGAATTCACGAAATTTTCTTCTGATTTCTTGTATTTTCTTTTAATCTTTTTATATCTTGAACCCTTCACATACTTCCAAATTCTTCTCATATCTCTCAATTCCTCGTCTTTCTGAAGGTGTGTGCGTCCAAACCGAGACCGTGCTCCGTCAAGCCATCGCCGAACGTATCAAGCCCATCCTTTTCATGAACAAGATGGACCGAGCGATCGGTTGCATTCTCGAAATTCTGTTGAATTCACGAAATTTTCTTCTGATTTCTTGTATTTTCTTTTAATCTTTTTATATCTTGAACCCTTCACATACTTCCAAATTCTTCTCATATCTCTCAATTCCTCGTCTTTCTGAAGGTGTGTGCGTCCAAACCGAGACCGTGCTCCGTCAAGCCATCGCCGAACGTATCAAGCCCATCCTTTTCATGAACAAGATGGACCGAGCGATCGGTTGCATTCTCGAAATTCTGTTAAATTCACGAAATTTTCTTCTGATTTCTTGTATTTTCTTGTAATCTTTTTATATCTTGAACCCTTCACATACTTTTAAATTCTTCTCATATCTCTCAATTCCTCGTCTTTCTGAAGGTGTGTGCGTCCAAACCGAGACTGTGCTCCGTCAAGCCATCGCCGAACGCATCAAGCCCATCCTTTTCATGAACAAGATGGACCGAGCGCTGCTCGAGCTGCAACTGGACGCCGAGGAGCTCTTCCAGACGTTCCAGCGTATCGTCGAGAACGTCAACGTCATCATCGCCACCTACAACGACGACGGAGGGCCGATGGGAGAAGTCAGAGTGAGTGATTTTTTCACAATAGGGTGAATCACGCACGCTTGCAAAAAAAAAGTGAATTTCCCGCTTGTTCCAGGTGGATCCCAGCCGAGGTTCTGTAGGTTTCGGTTCCGGTCTGCACGGATGGGCGTTTACTCTGAAACAATTTTCTGAGATGTACGCCGAGAAGTTCAAGATCGACGTGGTGAAGCTGATGAACCGTTTGTGGGGCGAGAGCTTCTTCAACCCCAAGACGAAGAAGTGGTCGAAGCAGAAGGACGACGACAACAAGCGGTCGTTCTGCATGTACATCCTCGATCCCATCTACAAGATCTTCGATTCCATTATGAACTACAAGTGAGTAAGAGGCTTCTATTTTTGTTCAAGATATTCCAAGTTTTTGTTCGGCCTTTCTACAGTGTCATTTATAAAGTTCAAATTAATTTCAAAGCAAAATTGAACAAATCATTTCATATTGGTGAGCAACAATCAATTTGAATTGGAGTCAAAAGTTGTAAAAAATCATCCATTTCATTTTATTTAAATTTTATTGTATATCTCCTATTTTTCATATCATCTGGTAATTTGTTATATCCAAACAGAGCAGCAACTTATGAATCACAATGTATATAATATATATTGGCCAAACAAATAGACCCGTTACCGGCAGAGTTTACGAACATCTTTATGCAGTCCGAAAAGCAGACCCTTCCTCGGCACTCTTCAAACATTACGAAGAAACAGGTCACTCAATAGATTTTGAAAACGCCAAAACAATCGCCACTGAAAGAACTCTGCATGCAAGGATAATCCGCAAAGTCCTTGAGGTAGAGAAGTGATCTGATTGCCTCAATACTCGCGACGACGACCGCTGGCTTCCTAGCACTTTGAAGAAACCTCTCATTTCCCGACTTTCCACACCCTGCGTCATAAATAACCACGCACATAGTCCCGCTTCACTGACCACCGCATCCACTATAAATACCGCTCCACTACCCACACACCCTCAGTTCTCTCGAAGGAGTAGGCAGATTGAGACCTTAGAGAGAACCAGTGACACGGGATCTGGGGAGTAGGCAGATTGAGACCCCGGCGTCAAGTCACCTACTAAAGACAGTGAAAAGTCACCCCCTTTATTTTCCTATCATATTTCTATTTTTCAATTCTTGAAAATGGTTCCAAAATCGGTGCCGAAACGTCGAACATCTACGATTCTTGACGCGGTTCAACCCAATAACTCTTGACCGATTTCAAAAAACTTTGTTTTGTTGGATAGGTATTTGAAATGTCCATCCAACAAGAGAGTGATTTTACTCATGAACTGTAATCGTGGCCAACTGCAACCAACTTTATGGACCCATATTTGAGAAAGTACTATTAGGGATTTTTTTTCACTAAAAGCAATGATGGATTCTGAATCACGATGACTTGAAAAACACCTTCACTGATTTTTATCATCATAAAATACAGGGTGTCCAAAAAAACGAATTATGTTTTTTTTTTCAATAGGTGATCAGAAAATGTAATATTGTGGTATTTTTGAGAAGAATTGATGACACATTATTATTGAGTATCACTTTGAACATATCTGTACCGATTTTCATCATTCAAAAATACGATGTGTATGAGAAAACAATTAAAAAGAAAAAGTAAACAATATTTTTTCATCAACTCAAAAAAAAAATATTAATTTGATTTTTCGAACACCCTGTGTTTATTAATAATGATGAAAATCGGAGCAGGTATGTTCCAAGTGATCCTGATTCATCTTTTTATTTTGAGTGAAGAATTATCAGGATGAAAAATATTGCTTACCTATCCTTTTCAATTTTTTTCTCAGACACATTGTATATTCAAATGACGAAAATTGGTACAGGTATATTTGAAATAATCAATAAAAAACACAGAACTACATTTGCTGATCACCTATTTGAAGAAAATGATGATTCGCTTTTTCAGACACCCTGTGTTTTATGATGATGAAAATCTGTACAGGTATATTTCAAGTGGTACTGTTTCAGAATCCATCATCAAGTTTCGTGGAAAAAAATCCCTAATAGTACTTTCTGGAATATGGGTCATTGAAATTTGTCGCAGTCGGCCACGATAACAGTCCAAGAATTAGATCACTCTCTCGTTGGATGGGCATTTATAATACCTATCCAACAAAAAAAGGTTTTTTGGAATGACCCGCTTCTAATAGAAACACCCCTGTATCTTATGTAATCGTTGGGTAAGGATCCTGAAATTTGCTGGAGCAAGAGAGATTCCAAAAATGCACTCTATGACGAAGTAGGGCCATCTTCAGTGATATACACTGCTCGCCAACAGCCATGGAACCACTCCAATTTCCGGAAAATGATATTAGGAGTGAAAATATGTTGAAAATCACTTCGGAATCAGGACGCTCATTTCACTAACTATTCATTGTTTTCCTAGAAAATTTACAGTTCAGAAAACTTCAATTTTGCCTCACTTTTCATGGAAGCACCCCCGTATCTCACGTAATTATTGAGGTAGGGTTCTGAAATTTGCAGGAGGAAGGGAAAGTCCAAAGATAAAGTCGATTTCGTAACATACGGGGGTGCTTTCGTAAAAAGTGCGACAAAATTTAATTTTTCAGAACTGAAAATTTTCTAGGAAAAATTTGAATAGTTAGTGAATTGGGCGTCCTGATTCCGAATCTCAAGTGATGAAATCAGCTCTTTAGGGAGAATCTGAAGATGCAATAATATACAGGGTGTTCAACGGGAAGTGACAGCTAATTGAACATACTTTAGAAAAATAGATCACATCACGCACATGGCTGTACCGAAAATTTCAGATTGAAGTCTCTTGGTTCTCTATAAACAATGAATGAATCAATTAGGTGAATGACCCTGTATAGTTCGATTATTTTATTGTGATCATTTCATCGTTGTTTTCACATATTTTCTACAATAATTTGTCCATGTCTCAGGAAGGAGGAGTACGAGGCCCTTTTGCCCAAACTGGGCATCCAGCTGAAGCACGAGGACAAAGATAAGGACGGCAAGCAGCTGCTGAAGGTGGTGATGCGCACGTGGCTGCCGGCCGGAGAGGCGCTGCTGCAGATGATAGCCATCCATTTGCCGTCGCCGGTGGTCGCGCAAAAGTACAGGATGGAGATGCTGTACGAAGGGCCGCACGACGACGAGGCCGCTCTAGGTACATTTTGATTTGGACTTTTTTTTGAATTACATGATTCTGTCGAGATTTTATTCGCGCATTTTTTCAATATTGTATTTTTTATCAGATTGTCATGACATTGTTGAAAACAGAATAATCAAGTATACAAGCAAATGTTCACATTGTAAATAGGTGAACCTATTACTAATTGGACTATAGTAACTAACTAACATTGCCATTAATGATACCTACTTTGATAACTACCTAGTCGTGAACTTACAAAATAATTATCGAATCGCATTGATAGACCAAGTTATTATTTGAATCAAATGAAATTTTAGCTATGATGAAGTGTAAAATTGACGAAACAACTATAACTGACGAAACAACTATAACTGACGAAACAACTATAACTGACAGAACTACTCCAAAAGTAGCCAAACCATTCCAGAAGTAGCCAAACTACTCTAGATCTGATTAAACATCTAGATTTGACAAAACTCTGAAATTGACAAAACTAGTCTCAAAGAGGCAATACTTCTCTAGAATTGACTATACTTCTCTAGAATTGACGAAACTTCTCTAGAATTGACGATACTTCTCTATAACTGATGATACTACTTGAAAAGTGAGGATACTCCTTTAGAACTGAGGAAACTTCTGTAAAACCGAGGAAACCTCTCAAAAACTGACGAAACTACTCTTAAACTGATAGAACTGCTCTACAACTGATGAAACTGCTCTACAACTGATGAAACTGCTCTAGAAAGAACTGCTCTACAACTGATGAAACTGCTCTAGAGCTGATGAAACTGCTCTACAACTAATGAAACTGCTCTACAACTAATGAAACTGCTCTACAACTAATGAAACTGCTCTACAACTAATGAAACTGCTCTAGAACTAATGAAACTGCTCTATAACTGATTAAACTTGTCCTAGTCTAGAACTGACAAAACTTCTCTAGAACGGACGAAATTTCTCTAGAACGGACGAAACTACTCTAGAACAGACGAAACTGCTCTTGAACTGACAAAACTATTCTAGAACTGGTGAAACTTCTCAAGAACCTTTGAAACTTTTCTAGATCTGATGAAACTTCTCTAGATCTGATGAAACTTCCCCAGATCTGATGAAATCTCTTGATCTGATGAAACTTCCCCAGTTCTGATGAAACTTCTTAAGAACCTTTGAAATTTTTCTAGATCTGATGAAACTTCTCTATATCTGATGAAACTTCCCCAGATCTCATGAAACTTCTCAAAAACCTTTGAAATTTGTCTAGATCTGATGAAACTTCTCTAGATCTGATGAAACTTCCCTAGATCTGATGAAACTTCTCTAGATCTGATAAAACTTCTCTAGATCTGCTGAAACTAGAAATGACAACTACTTTGTGGAAGCACTGAGTAAACTAGTCTAGTATACAACTGACAAAAACTTCTCTAGAACGAGCGAAACTTCTCTTGAACGGGCGAAACTTAAAATGGATGAAACTCTTCTAGAACGGACAAAACTACTTTAGAACTGACAAAACTATTCTATCAATAATGAAACTTCTCTATGACTGAGCAAATAACCCATGAATTGGTTACACTTTTCTATAGCTGACGAAACTGTTTTAGTACGGGAATAAGTGAATAACTATTCTAGAACCGACAAGTACTCTAAAATTGACATTATTACTCTAGAACTGTAGTTACTACTCAAGAACTAACGTTGCTACTCTAGAACTGACGTTGCTACTCTAGAACTGACGTTACTACTCTAGAACTGACATTACTACTCTTGAACTGATAGGAAACTATTTTTATTCTCATGAATTATTCTTGTACTGATTAAACCACTCTGAAGAATTATAAAAAAGGAAAGGGAAAATAAATCCTAGATGTCTTAAAGAAAGTTCAAATTCATGGTGATGATATGAAACAATGTAGAATCTAAGGAAACGCCTTCACCAAGTCCACACTTTGTAACCTCCTCCTTTCCCAACCCAACAGGTATCAAAAACTGCGATCCCAACGCGCCCCTCATGATGTACGTCTCCAAGATGGTGCCGACATCGGACAAGGGCCGCTTCTACGCGTTCGGTCGAGTCTTCTCCGGCAAAGTGGCCACCGGCCAAAAGGCGCGCATCATGGGCCCCAATTACACGCCCGGCAAGAAGGAGGACCTCTACGAGAAGGCCATCCAGCGTACGATCCTCATGATGGGCAGGTACGTCCTTTGACCAAATAACAATAGACACCACGATTCATTCATCAATCATTAGAAAATATACACCAACAATCCTGAAACGTCAAACACTGATGAATGAATGGAAATGGGCAAGTGGACTGGTTGTGAATAATTGGCATTCAATTACTTCAGTGTATCTTAAGGGAATTTACTTTTGAAACACTTGTTTTTTATGTAGATACCATAGACATCGTCTATACTAATATTCGCGATAGAAAATAACACGTTGCCCCACCTGACGGCAACAACTTGAACACTTCTGAGTGGTTCGTTTTTCGTTTTGATGATGTGACCAATAAGCCTGCAAGAAACAAATATGGAACAATGAAAACAGTCCGCTTTGACAGCTTTCAAGAACTCCGATAGGTGGCGTACGCTTATGTTCTATCGCGAATTATAAAGAGGAAAGATTTGATTGTTTGTTTGTATGTATGTATTGAATAGGCTCCGAAACTACTGGATGGATTTGGCTGAAAATAGGTGGGGTAGTAGCCTAGAACCAGGAGAAGGTTATTGGATACTTTTTATCCCGGTACCATTAGGAAATTCAAGATGGCGGATCTAATATATCGGACGAGTTTTGTAATTATGGTCCGATTCAATTCAAAATTGGTATCTGGGGGTTTTCGGGGTCGGATATTATGATTTTTTCGTCAATATTCAAATAAACTAAAAAAAAGTTGAAATGAATGGTAGTTTGAAAAACTAAAGAAACACGCTTCTATAGATAGTGCAACTGAAATAATAATAGTGTCTTGATGAATATTGAACTGAAAAAATATACTAAAAAAATAATGTACATAGCAAAACAACGTTTGTGAGGTCTGCTAGTATTATATATAATGATACTAGAATACTGATTCCCATCAAGTATCACAGCAGAAAGCGAGTGACCAATTAAAAGTCAAGTTATTAAGAAGTTAGAGCCCTGTTGTTGAATCAAACTATATCGGAATTGAATATTTCATTTGAGGAGGAAGGAGGAAGTCATGATATTATAGTTATTAATCTGAGACTGATTCAAGCAACCAGCTTGTTAAAATATTGCTTATACTCCATCATCCAAACGGTGAGAACTGACAAGACAACGCCCACAATTCTGTGTTGTCACGTTCACCGGACCATATCTCCTCTGGTGTGAATTAATATAATTGTTATTAACACTGATGGAAATTGGTTATGGAAATAACAAGTCCGTGTGTTATAATACTTCAAAACTGTATATTGCTCTCTTCAAATCAAGACCGCTCGGAAAGCACACCGATGTAAGAATCGTCATATAGAAAACGTCTCTAGGAAAACTAAGTACATAAGTATATGCTTAGTAAGCAGTCTCTCCTCATCTATACCATACACATTGCTTTCATTTATATATTTTAAATAATCAAATTTAATTTGGCCCTCGTGCACTGCACTGTCGACATTTCTAGATATTCAATGATAACAAAAATACATTGGTTTATATTTCATTTTTGTCTATGTACACAGTGTACTGTGTATATCCAACTAACACAAATTCCTCATGTTGTGCAATAAGAAACCACATATGAGTGGGAGAATCACAAGACCATGGATTTCTGAAGTTCCCAATCATATTTCAACATATAGCAACTGTGCTATGGTGTTTTTTTCATCTCTTTGAGCACACAAAAGGAAATTCCTATAATGTGCAGAGAACCTCCTGGGATAAATTTCTAGCCATTTGAGAATTGACGTGGTAATTTTTATAATATCAGCACCTTGAAATTGACCAAAAAATCTAAAAAATATGGAAATGAAAGTTAATTGAGCGATGATTCTATTTGAGAAATTTGAAGAATTTGTCCACTAGCCTATTTGATTTAAATCATTTATTTCGACGGTCAGTGACAACTGACATGAAAAATGCGACAATTTTTCATGATTTTTCGTCACTCTATTGACCAAATTTTCAGAAGTTGTGAGGTCGACTGCCGATGTGTCAAAATAATGTCAAATGTGAATAAAATCGGCGCCATTGTCGATATTATATACTCAATTAATCTTCTCCATAGATATGTCGAGGCCATCGAGGATGTACCGTCAGGAAACATTTGCGGTTTGGTGGGAGTGGATCAGTTTTTGGTCAAAACTGGAACGATTTCGACGTTCAAGGACGCGCACAACTTGAAGGTGATGAAGTTCAGCGTGTCGCCGGTAGTGAGAGTTGCCGTCGAGCCCAAGAATCCCGCCGATTTGCCTAAGTTGGTAGAAGGTGAGTGTTTTCTTCCTGTTCGTTTTTTCTACAGTCATAGAAGCTGAATATTATGAATTTTAAATGTGCAAGGTGTTCTTTGAAACTAGTTTCTATTAATTTCTCAGTTTGTCCTACATGTTTCTTTGAAACTAGCAAATGACAGTTGTAAATTGAAGAAGCTAAGGAAAATATCATATACTGTAATAGTACTCACCAAATTGATTTATTTGAACCTCCACAACATTCTCAAAATACTTTTTATATTACTAACCAAATTGATTTATTGGAACCTCCACATTTGGAAAGAATGAAATTTTCGTCAGACTAGTTTTCATCACCTTGCTTATTAATTTGTACTATCTAGAATAATAATTGAAGTTGTTCAAAATCAACATTCTCAAAGTACTTTTATGAATAATCCTTGGGATAGAAGCTGAATTTGCAAGATGTTCTTCAAACCTAGTGCCAATAAATTTCTTAGTTTGACCTATGTAATATTTTCTTTTGAAGCTGCCGACATGAATAAAGGCATGTTGAACGTTGAACATTTTGCAAATTATAAAGACTTTTTTCGGTAGATTCACTTCATATCGACATTTTACGAAAATGAATTCGCTTATTTTATTTGTATATTTAGCGTTGAATTGCATTTTTGTACCTTCCAGTACAACAGAGCCTCTGAATAGTAGTCAATGATAGCTGCAAAGTTGTCATTGTCTACTGTGATTCTGTAGGCAGTGCAATGGAAGAAAATGAAATTGATTTGCTTCAACGCTGCCACAGGACCTCTATCTTTATGTCCATTTGTGGTATGTTACACGCAGATAAGACAATCTTATTGAAAATTTAGCATTTCATTCATTTTATTGGAAGCAAAATTGAGGATCTTCATTTACCTAAAACTAAAAACAAAGTGTAGCATAAATAAATGATAAGTTTTTTAAACACATAATGAAAAAGAGTTTGTGTATAAAGTGTAAATTTCCTACCAGTGCAAATGAATAATGCACGTTTCATATAAGCAGTAATTCCAGTTGGTGAGAAAATAAGTATTCCTTCAATAGACAAGAACACTTATTTCTAGAACAAATAGTATTATTTTCATCACAAAAATGTACAAGACATTGGTGAAGTTGAGTTTATGGTAGTTGAACATCAGAATGCAATATGTTGTGAAAAAATCCATTTATCAAAACATCCTGTATGAATGCTGAATCCAAAACCCATAATCCACGAGCAGCAGAGGAATCACCTCGTATATTCTACACTGTTCAACATTTCAATGAGTAAGAGTAAGAGAGATGAGTAAGAATCCATTGATATATCACATACATTTTTGAACTCTCAAAGTTTCATTGTATAAAACTTCCATCAATCTTGGTATATCACCCTGTATATTCTTTCTCCCGTTTCTTTTTCTGCAACTTCAAGGACAGTTGCTGTCATTCAATCTTGAAACAGTATACAAGTTGATCAATGTGTTGTGCTGGGTCTTCCTATAATAATATCTATCAAATATTGTTTCCAAACACTGTATATAAATAATTTGAGATTTTATACAACGAAGGTCACAATAGCTCATCCTAGAAAAAAACTGATTTTTGATCTACAAATGATAATATTTCTGGTCAGTTACAAATTATCACATTTTTTCGAAAAAAAAATCTCTTTCTCGAAAATCTGGTAAGATAAGAGAAAAATTGCGAGGATTATTAAAATTTACTTGGAAAAAAAATCTCAGAAATTTTTCATCAAATTGGGAGTATGGAGAATTTTTCAATATTTTGCCAAAGTTTATTTGTCACCCTGTATAGCCAGAGGTTACCATGTATTTCCATTAGCGGTCTATCTGTCATATACCCAGTGGATCAATCCTCAGAATAAAAGAAACCGCATCCGATTAAGTGGAATTTTCGCGTAAATATTCAATGTTGAATTCAGAGCAAAAATGTGCTTGATGCGGTTCCATTGATCAGCACTTTATTTGAAAAAGACTCGTCGCTCATGGAATGTCAAATTTCAAGCAATAACAGCTCTGTCTAATGGATGAGCATTACATGACAGGAAATCAGATTGCTACAAGATGAAGAAATCAAAAATGCCGCTGTTATCTGTTACAGTCGTAGAACAAATACAGTGTATAAATTTAACTGGTGCGCTTACTCCCTATTGAAGGTCGTTTACAAGTATCTCGATGGCGCCTACTCTGATGAAACCTTTGATAAACATACTTGACGTGGGTAAATCTCGCTAAGCTCATCCTGGTTACAATCCATATTAACAGGAAACATATTACCGACCGATAAATATTTGGATACGTATATGATTTGGATCAGAGCAGTGAACTGATTTCTGATCAAAGGATCGAAACGTCAATATGTCAAAAATATTCTTGAGCTGAAAAAATGGTTATTTTTGAGATTGGGGTCAAGTGTTCGTTAGGGACGTGTTCCGTAGTTTCTTAATTTTGTGTATAATACCTAATTGGGCTTCGCCTTTTGACCATGGTGCATTCGCAAGTAGTACCTATATGATTAGTTGTTAGTTGATTTCGTACTTACTTTTGGTACAGAAAACATACGGAGTTGCGGATTTTTATACGATCCGCATATATTGCAGCAACGCCAGTCCATGATGAAGTATAAAAACTAAACACTAAACCAAACAAACAACAAACCTACTAAGCGACAATTAAAGAATTAAAAACTGATGAACAACAATTACAATTATTACAGGATTAAAACACTAAACATTTTATAACTCGAACGAATTTTCCGAATTTCCGAATCTGAATCGCTGAATACGAATTGACAGATGTCACTGACGGAATTCGACCACAGAACAATGATGGAAATAGATTCATCCCTCACAGAACCAAGGTTTTGAACGTTTTTCCGATTATGGCGCCTCTATCGTCAAATACCTGAACCCCACGTCCAAAACTCGCTTGCAATTATTCCATATCGAGAGTTAGTCTGACGAAACAATTGAAGAGTGAGCCCACCAGTTAAATTTCTATACATCTCTATCCCGTGCTTGTTAAACAATAAACTATTCTTCTCCTGCCAGGTCTGAAACGTCTCACCAAATCCGACCCTATGGTGCAGTGCTTCATCGAGGAGTCCGGCGAGCACATCATAGCCGGCGCCGGCGAGCTCCATCTTGAAATTTGCCTCAAGGATCTGGAAGAGGATCACGCGTGCATCCCGATCAAGAAATCCGATCCGGTGGTGTCGTACAGAGAGACGGTCAGCGAGGAATCCGACCAGATGTGCCTGTCCAAGTCGCCTAATAAGCACAATAGGCTGTTCATGCGTGCCTGTCCGATGCCCGACGGTTTGGCAGAAGATATCGATGACGGTGAGTAAAAACTATGGACATGGAGATGTAACATTTCATTCATAAAACACTATTTGTTTACGATCATACGTACTTCCAAAGTTTCAGATGAGTTGGAGAGAGATGGCTTTAAAAAATGGCAACGCTGTAGATTGTGCGTCACACTTCTTTGCCAGTCGCGTAGGTTAAGCGAGGAGCAAGCCAATTTTACTAATGTGTGGATCTAATCTTTCAATTCTAATACAACATATTATTAGTATCTTGGGTACAGTTGTATTCAGAAAAAAGCGTACAAGTATTAGAGAGAGGAATTAACTTCTACCTATATGCGTGTAACGGGCTATGGGGTACGATTGTTTACCAAATGTTGACAGTTGTCATAGGTTGTCAAAATTACCAAGCATTGGTTGAGCCGGTTTTTCACGACTAGAAGTAGGATGCCGTTAGCATATGTTTTTATTACTTGTACGCTTTTTATAGAATACAACTGTACTTGCTTATTTTTGATCCAGCATTTAGTGGAATTTGAACAGGTTTCTTGCAATAATTTAGTTTTGAATAATCTGCGATAACTAACCCACTGCTCAAGTTGAAAGAAACATAACCTTACATACCAGTTTGGGGTTTGAATGGTGAACTTTTTTGCAATCCACGAACGGGGGAATCATAATATACTTTTAATAATTGTTTTTATATAGTTTCATAAACAAGAAGAAGCTTATAGTCGATTGAAACACAAAACATCCTAAAATGGTAGTCAACACAGCACAACAACACTAACGTCGAATTTTGACATACGTGAATGACTTAGGAAAAATATGCGTAACTCTTAGTAAACACGCCAATACAGCGTTGCCACACTCATTTCCGTAACACAGGCGATAGATCTACGGCAATCTGCTAAAAACGATGATGACAAATTTCTGCATTTTACAGTATTCTTGACTTTCCAATTTTCAAATAGAATACTGTAACATCTTTGAGAACATTATTTTTGTCTTGAAGTATTCCTTTCATATTTTTGGTCCTTCCAGCACAACAGAGCCTCTGAATAGTTGTCAATGGTGGCTGCAATGTTATCATTGTATACTGTGACTCTGTAGGCAGTGCAATGGAAGTAGATTAATTTTATTCGCTTTAACGCTGCCACAGGACCTCTATCTTTATGTCCGATTGTGGTATGCTAGTGGGCTTGTAAAACAACCTTAATAAAAATATTAGCAATTTGTTTGTGTTTTAAGAATGAAATGAAAATCTATAGATAATCTAGGTACCTTGAGAAAAATCCGTAGAAAATCTAGGTACCTTGAGAAAAATCCCTAGAAAATTTAGGTAACAATAATCATAACTCCCAAAGATAACATCCAAACACGCCCAAAGACTTCGAAAACTTCCCAAGACTCCTAAACCTTGCCTGATGATTTCAAAGCAGTCTACATAGTGACTGAAGGGCTTTCAGAAATGTTTGCTTAATTCCAAATATGTACCTCCAATGACATACAAATAAATTCAAATACTTCCAAAGACTGCTGATGATTTCTGAAGACTAGTGACTCCCAAAACCTTTCTCGTGAATCCCTGAAGTCTCTCGGTGGGTTCCAAAGACTCAGTGACTTCCATATACTGTGAAGATCGACCACACTGTGACATCCAAAGTGTATCTGTGGCTACTAAAGTCGCTAAGTGACTTCCAAAGACAGTGATTTGCAAAAACTTTGACTATAGACTAAATGACTATAGTGACCTTTCTTGACTTCCAAAACCTTCCTAATGGCTCAAACCTTCCTCGTGACCTCCAAAACCTTCCTAGTGTCTTCCAAAACCTTCCTAGTGTCTTCCAAAACCTCCCTAGTGACTTTCCTAGCGATTTAAAAACCTTTCCTAGTGACTTCCAAAACCTGTCTAGTGACTTCCATAACCTTCCCAGTGGCATCCAGAACCTTCTTCATAGCGACTTCAAAAACGTTCCTAGTGACTTCTAAAACCTTCCTAGTGACTTCTAAAACCTTCCTAGTGACTTCCAAAACCTTCCTATTCACTTCCAAAACTGTCCACTGACTACAAAATCTTCCCAGTGACTTCACCTTCCTAGTGATTTCCAAAACCTTCCTTAGCGACTTCCAGAACCTGCCTAGGGACTTCCAAAATTTTCCTCGTAATTTCCAATTACTTTCAAAGACTTTCAGTAACTCCCCAAGTCTTTCAGTGACTTCCACAGACTGTCAAGTATTCCGAACGCTATATCTGACTTCAAAAGTCTCCCAATTGACTTCTGAAACTTTCCTTTTCATCTGAGCCTTCCTTATGACTTGCAAAACCGCCCTATTTGCGTCTAGTCTTCCAAAACCATAATTGTGACTTCCAAAAGGTTCCTTGTGACTTCCAAAACGTTTCTTATGACTACCAAAACGTTCCTTGTGACTACCAAAACGTTCCTTGTGACTTCCAAAACGTTCCTTGTGACTTCCAGAACGTTCCTTGCGACTTCCAGAACGTTCCTTGCGACTTCCCAAACGTTCCTTGCGACTTCCAAAACGTTCCTTGTGACTTCCCAAACGTTCCTTGCAGGGTTGGCACGAATTGATTCATATGAATTAAGTCAGTGATTCAATTCGTGAATTAATTCAAATGACTTTTTTCAAATAAGTCGTGAATTAATTCAAAATTTATCAAATGGGAACAAATCACATTATTACCTTCAATTTATACTAGTTTGTAATGAAATATCCGATGGCATCTGACAACTGACAACCGTGAAGCACCACACGCGGAAAAAATTTTTCTAAGAGCCGCTTTACAGTTTACAATATTTCATTGCATGCAATTGATTGCTCCAATTCATATTTCCGGCAAAAATAATATGTAGGCTTTTCAACACTGAATCGGAATTACCGGCTTGCAATGTCTTTTTGTCATAGATTATTACTTCTCACCTAGTTTTGAGTTGGGTCAAGAGTTGGGTAGAAGAAACCATGAGAAAGGCAAGAAAAGTAAGATCCAATGTCACCACTAGAATTGCACCAGTAATACAAATTACCACAATATTAATAAATATGTCCGGAACTCATTTCTTGCAATGCATTGAAAAATTGCTTTCCAAGGTGACACCAATCCGTAGGCGCGCCATGGATATTGCTGCATTGTATTGAAAATAACTGAAAAGCGCCTCTATAATGAAGATTGTGATAAGTAATATAATTTGCATAAACATCATTTTTTATTCAATCAATAGTCTCAGTTTATATTGCAAAATTGCATATTTCAGTATTTTAGTATTTTATTGTCACGCTTTGAGATTTTTAACGGAAATTAAAACTTAGTATTTTCGATGTTCTTGTATTATGTTCAAGTAAATAGAATTTGATTTGTTCTCAAATGAATTAATTCAAAAAAGTCCGAATTAATTCAAAAAGTCAGACTTTTTTGACTTTTTTATAAAACTCATGACTTATTCCAACCCTGGTTCCTTGCGACTTCCAAAACGTTCCTTGCGACTTCCAGAACGTTCCTTGTGACTTCCAGAACGTTCCTTGTGACTTCCAAAACGTTCTTTGTGACTTTTGGAGTTTTCCAAATATGTGGCGACATCCAACTCATCGTCTGTCCCATCTTCCAGGCAAAGTGAATCCGCGCGACGACTTCAAATCCCGCGCCCGCTATCTCACCGAGAAGTACGACTACGACATCACCGAGGCGAGAAAAATTTGGTGCTTCGGCCCCGACGGCACCGGTCCCAACATCCTCTTGGACTGCACCAAGGGGGTGCAGTACCTCAACGAGATCAAGGACAGCGTGGTGGCCGGATTCCAATGGGCCACCAAGGAGGGGGTACTGTCCGAGGAGAATTTGCGCGGGGTGCGCTTCAACATCTATGATGTGACGTTGCACGCCGACGCAATTCACAGAGGGGGTGGGCAGATCATTCCGACCACGAGGCGGTGTTTGTACGCTTGTTTGTTGACGGCTCAGCCGAGGTTGATGGAGCCCATCTACAAGTGCGAGATTACGGTGAGTGTTCTTACCTTGAATGATGCAGTTTTTTTCAGTGAATTTCTCAGCTTGTTTATATTTATTTATTCATTTACTTATTTATTTTATCCGATTTTGGATTTGTTGTGAGACGTTTCGCCTATGCCAATAATAATAACTAATTTTCAAAAAAGAGAATAATTCATTTTCTTATACTATTATTATACAAAATGATATATTTTTTCACTAGGGCCAAAGTAACATTTTTTGAAGCGAGAAAATAGTTTACCAGCCGAGGTTGGTAATGTGGTAGTACATTTTTTTCATCATAATTATACTAATGATTATATACCCCACACAAATAAGCCGGCCATGAATGCGTCTCGAGAGTATTCATTGGTGTGCTCGTTGTGGGAACAGCAAAGTCTCCTCTTGTGTATGGTGACTCATCTTTTATATGATGTCACCAAAGGAAGATCAGAGACATTTAATTTTACATGAAATAATATTTTAGATTTTATTTATCTATTTATCCATTGAAAATATGACTCAGTCAGAATCAAGTCTGGTATTAGAAAGTAGTCAACAGTATAATACAATTATCGCCTCTCATTTGATATCCCAACAAATGATCTGTATGCCATAACAGAAAAATTTTCATTGGATGAATTATATAAAATAGATTCTCTTAAAGTTTCATATAATATAATAAACAATAATCTGAAATCCAATTTTATTTTGATAAGAAACTCAGAAATTCATGGTCATCACACGAGACAATCAAACTTATTTCATCTTGATTTTGCTACTTCTATAATTGGCCAAAAAAAATTAACTCACGCTGCTCTAGCTGAATTTAATAAATTACCGCATAATATAAAAAATTGCAGACATATTTCAAAATTTAAAGTTGAATTAAAAGAACACATGATTTCATTACGAAATAGATAAAATTTATATTTTGCCATCTACTGATTAGTCCCTGTGGCTATTTTTATGACTTGATCGATAGCATTTTTAGATTTTTTTGATTTTTTTGTTGTTGTTGTTGTTGTCACCTCATATTATTTTATTATTGTTGTTTGTAATCAACTTCCTCATACCAGAATTTTATTTCTGACTGGAAGCTAGTTTTTGAATAAACAATAAACAATATGAAATTCGGTTGTTTGCGCTAAAATTCTTTTTAATTTTCATTTCACGCGATTTGAGTTTTTGATGCCAATTGATTAATATTGTCCATGTTAACACAGAATGAAACCAAATACTTTTCATTATGAAACGAATTCTCGCACATGGTTCACGACCGGGGGGGGGTTCAATCTTGCATGAGACAAATTTTGTCCAATAGCATGAATTGGGAAAGTCAAAGTTATGTTGAAATAATGGCAGTGGAAGAAAAATAAAGTTATTGTGCTTCATCTCAAAAGGAAACACTCAACTTGACGAAAGAAAAAGAGAATGAGCTACATTTATCTGGCAAAAAAATAATGCAGAAGGCCAATGTCGCTGACCAGAAATGGTTCTAGCAGTGCAATGATTCACTGGTCGTTGATAATTTTCTTAATTTTGAATGAAGCTGCCATTCCCAATATAGTAAGTGAAGAAAATCAGTCAAATATTCCAATCTCGCATTCGACATGAAATTGTGGACTACAATATGTATTGAAAATTTTCGAATTCGATGATAGGCACTGTTTTTTTGTTGGACAATGTAGAAATCTCGCAATTCCACAAAATATTTCACCATTTGAGAATAGGGTCTCTGCTCTCCAACACCGGCGAAAAGCTGTTTCAGTGCTATATGTCAGAAGAACTGTTTTCGCAATTTGACCAATTTCGGCGATGGGTCTGGAGAATTCTCTGGGCATTTTAAGCAAAAGTGAGTTTTTGGTTGCGACGCTGCATTCCCAATCTATTCGGCGTCGTTGTACAAATTTTGGCAAGGGGTCCACCAATCTGTTTCGGCCTTTTGTCCGGATAATTTTGAATACATTTTTGTTATTATTATTTAAATTTATTGGTCCTAAAGAAATAATGTATGCTACGATCATGTAATAAAAAAACTGATTTCTCTAGTGTATAGTGTCTGGAAGTAGCAGTCGGTGGTTATCTACCATCCAAAGATTGATGTTGACAATTTAACCACTTTCACAATGTGTCCAGAGAATTCTCTTGACATTCTGAGCGAAATTGAGCTATCGGTTTCGACGCTGCATTTTCGATCTATTCGGTGTCGTTTTAAACGTTTCGGTAAAGTGTTCACCGATCTGTTTCGGCGTTTATTCCGAAAACATGGCGACTTGCCAGGATCTCTGTAGAAAAAATGGTGCCATGTATATAAAACGAAATTCTCCTAATTTCCATTCAGTGTCCTGAAGTGACGGTCGGAGGTATCTATGGCGTGCTGAACAGTCGTGGTCACGTGTTCAAAGAGTCGTAGGTCGCCAGTATGCCCTTGTTCATCGTCAAGCGTACTTGACGGTCAACGAATCGGTTGGCTTCACGGCCGACCTGCACTCCAACACTGACGAAATGTCCAAAGTCCTGTTTTGGCTTTATGTTCTAAGAGTTATTTCGGCAATTTGACCACTTTCGGCAATGTGTCCGAAGAATTATTATTTGAGGTTTCGGTTTGGATAATGCATTCCCAATTTATTCGGCTCCGTTTTGTCCGAATAATTACAAATAGATTCGTTTTCATTATCTATTGGTCGATCATAAAGAAATACTTATTTTTCCTTAGTGTCCGGAGGTGGCAGTCGGTGGTATCTACGGTGTGCTGAACAGACGTCGTGGTCACGTGTACGAAGAGTCGCAGGTCGCCGGTACGCCCATGTTCATCGTCAAAGCCTACTTGCCGGTCAACGAGTCGTTCGGCTTCACGGCCGACCTGCGCTCCAACACCGGCGGCCAGGCGTTCCCGCAGAGCGTGTTCGATCATTGGCAGGTGATGCCCGGCAATCCGATGGATCCGGCCGCGAGGACGTACACTATCGTGCAGGTGAGTTTTTTTTTGGAAATGGAGAACTTACTGTTTCGCATATTGTTTTGTTTTTTTTCAGTTTGCTCATTTTGATTTCGATTTGATTGTCTTTTTTTCCCCAAGAAACATTTCTGTTCATGGTAGGGATCAGGGTTGGCCGATATATATCAAGTGATATATATCATGATATGTATCATGATATATATCTGATATTTATTGATTGATATATATCATGATATATATCATTTACTTCTTTTTAACAAAATAAATACCGGAGCAAAAAGTCCTTGATATTTTGCGTTAAAAATGAATACGTGACAACAATGCGTTTCGTGGTTATAACTTACAACTCGGGGAATCCCCGGTTTTTGTTTACTGCTTGTTATGTACATGGTACATCAGGCGTGTTCGTTTGTCCTTGCTCTACCTGCTGAACTCGATTTTTTTCTATGACTTACTTTGTTTACATCATGCCATGAACAGAGACAACTATGGAAAAAGAATCAACTTTAGCAAGTTTAGCAATACAAACGAACAGGCCTCATGCTTACAATGATTTGGTGGAAATCGGTTGCAATTCCTGACTCCGAATGTCCAAAAAAAGAACTCTTCTTACAACTATGTGAGCAGTTATTCAGTGCAGTAGCGGCAACAGCTGGTTAAGGAAGAATTTTTTCGAGTTTTGGAATAGTTCAATCTAAATTAAAAAATCGTCTAGGCAACGAAAAAGCCAGTAAGCTAGTATTTATTTTTAAATGTTTAAACCCAAATACAGATAAAAAAGCCAAAAGCTTGGACTGGATCTCGTCGAATGATGAATTAGTTGCCTTGAGTGAAGATGATAATATTGATAATGATGATTATATTCATCTTTCTCGGTTTTGCAATCCTCAAAAATTTATCAAAAGTTTTTTATATTACCATATATTACATATTCAAATTCAACTGAAGTTTGATTTTTTTTTAACCTAAATAAAGGTATTTTATATTGTGTTTTTTTGGCATATCAGCCTAGGAACAAAATCGAAATTTCTGATATATATCGGATATATATCCGATATTATGATATTTTGATATATATATATATATAAATATTTGCCAACCCTGGTAGGGATACATGAATACATATAAAAAAATAATAATAAAGGGTTAACTAATGAATTCTACTCAGTTGAAAGGAATTAATATTGTTTCTTAAGATTGAAGTTGTATTTCATTTCTGAGTAATCAAATCATGCCACATATTTTTCATTCAAATTGTCCTGAACAGATTATTTGCCAATGTTTGATATTTGCTATCAAGTAACTCAACTGTCTAGTCCCATAATTATGGACTCTATTGACTTCATTAAAATCTAATTTTATATTTTCAATTTATTCCTGGCAACATATTTTAAGTTGATATAATGAAATCAGGTTCAGAAAATGTCTAGGTTTGTATAAGTTTATCGTTGGTTTTGGTTCTAAAAAATGCAGATGAAAAATACACTTGATTGATTTGTTTTGTAATTTCATGATCCCTACTATTTATTTAGGCTTTTCTTTTCTGAGATAATGGGCCATCCCAGTATCATTAAATTTGACCCTTTTTCATCATAATGTTATGAAGAGAAGTTGAAAATGTTATCCTCACCACATATTTATGGCGCAAATCGAATGACAAATGAATAATTTGATATTGAAAATGCTATTTAAATACCTGTGAATTCAAACACTACTGAACTGTGACGTCAGTGTCTTCTTGGTTGGTTGTAGTTCTAACGGCTGGGAATCACTCTGCTGTTGCCAGATCTCTATAAAATTCTTGAATTGATCCTTTGTGCATGATGGTGCAAGGAATGCAATGATTCGAAATTACTATGTAGTAGGTGATTAGTTGATTCCTAATTTACTGCGCCAAAGTATTCCATTAGTTTCAAAATTAGCTAGGATGGAATGAGATGCAGGCATCTAACAGTAGTAAGGGCCACTTTATAAAAAACTTCGAAACTCAAGATTTATCACCTAACATTTAGGGCTCATCACTTATGACAGATGGAACATGGAAATATAATTGGTTATGTTATAAAACCATTTAAGACTCATGATTTAACACTAAAGATTTAAGAAGATGACCAACTTCCAACTTGAGAAGTGCTGATAAATGATCGTAAATGGAATAAGGAGAGCGCATCCAAAAAATCTGGTTCTGTATCAGAAACTAGATGTCATGTATTGCCCTAGAGTCTTAATTTTTTTATATCTGAATCCACTTGAGACTCTCGAGTCTTGAATGTTTAAATGATGAATCTTAATGCTAAATGTTTTCATAAAGTCACCTGAGAAGTTTTTTATATACTTAGTTTGGTTTTTCCTGTGGTATTTCTTTATATCAACAATTGTTTACTTCTGCCTTCCATATGGTTATGGCTGTTTTTTTATCGTTTGGAGCTCACGAAAGGGAATCCCTATATTCGAAAAATATCGTGCGTACCTATTGGCAATTTCTTGCTTCCTATCTCTTCTTGGATATTTCCTTCTTATTGTATGAGTTTTTTCCTTTTTTCTTCATGTTAAGTTTATTTATGGTTATGATCTATTTCTGTATCGTTTCTTCCTGTTTCCTGTTTTGTTTCTTCCTACTTCCCTCTGATCTCTTACTATCGTCCTATGGTTACCTCCTATTTCCTATCTTCTTTTTTCCATATGATTTAATATTTCTAAATGGTTTCTTTTCTTTCTATTTACCATATTGGTACTTGATATTTAAGTTAGGTTATTCATTGTTTCCATATGGTTTCTTGTTTATTTCTGTTTCTTTCATTATTCCTGAATTCTGATATGTTGATATTTCTGCTTGTTTTCTTCTTATAGCCGCCCAGAGACTTCTTTTCATATCCTGTTTTTTTTCCTATTGCCCTATGTTATCTTCCTATAGAGCTTATAATTCCATATATCTCTTCATGATTTTTTTTGTTCTGTATGATGTTTTCCAATTTTCATGGTTTTTTCTGTTTTCCTATGGTTTCTTTTTATTTCCTCTTTCATTAGTCTTTGCTGTTTCTGTCAGTTCTAATGTGATTCTTGATACTTAGGGCCTATTTATGAATCATATTTTGCCATATTCTCAGTATAATCATAATCATTAAATCATGACCTTGAAAGTTACGAACTTTCAATTTTTATGCTTATGACTGAGACCACACAAGAAATGCGCATGTATCGACTTGTCAACCAACATATTTGACAATCACATATGACTTTTTTCGAATTCATAAGAGAATTTTAAGAAGAAAAACAATAAACTCAAATAATCCCCAATTTAGCTCAAAAACCTACTTCAAAACAAAATATTTGACTAAGACAATGATGCATAAATAGAGCCTTAGTCTTATTCTTTATAGAACTGCTTTTGTCCCACGTGATCTCTTAATTTGATCTTATTTATTGCCATCAATAGACAATGCTGCATGGTATTTAATCTTTGCAGTATTCACTTTGAATGGCAGATAAAGTGTCTTTTAGTTTCGATCTTGGGGTGAATCTACTCTTTGGTCTGAATAGGGGGACAAACAATATTCTTATTCTGCATCAGATAATAATTGGTATCTATTGAAGAATGAAAAGTTTTTGAACATCCAGCTGATGTGTTATTTATTTTGTTTTATGTAGGATACAAGAAAACGTAAGGGTCTCAAAGAAGGATTACCAGACCTTGCCCAATATCTGGATAAATTGTAAGCTGAGGGGGTATTTAGGTTATGTACAGATTATTTAACAAAATTCACACTCAACATTCATAGTTTATTATACTTTTCAATTGATTTCCCATGCTGAGTTTTTACAAGGCGGGCCATTTTAGTTCTCAGACAAATTTGATAATCTGTAAAAGTGTTTGTTATATATTATATTATTTTTGTTGAAACTCCGGAACAGCTTGTATATTTATTTTACCTTGACAGAAAAGTAAACTGTAAAACATGAAATTTTTGAGTTATTTATTTTTTTAATTTTTTTTACGGTGATTGATATTATGGGAAGAGAAGAATCAAAATATTTTGGAAAAAACCCAATGTGAGAGAGTGTATTTAATTCCTAAGTACTGATTAATTTTAAGTAAATTGTGTTTTCTCAATGTTGTAAAATAAAAAAGACTTTTTTATCGAGCTGCCGGTTTTTCATTTTGATGAATTGGGTTTTCCAAATTATTGAAAGTCAGCTTTGGAGGGGCGGGGGGTGAAAATTTTGACTTCAGCAAATAGCGTCGGGATGCCAGATGTTCATCAAGAAGGACCATGCTGTGGATTTTGTGCTCTTTCAAAGTTGGTAAGTATTTTTTCTGCTACATCATGTTTTAGCTCATTTTCATTATCTTGGGCATTTTTATTCAACTAAAACCATCAATTTTTTTTTTTTAAACAGAAAAGAAAATTGAATGATGATTTTATTACCGCCCCAGTCTGAAATCTATGACTGATAGGTGATTCTGATCTTTTTCTTTTATCTATTGATTCACTTATGATAAATATTATTCATGTTACCAACTATTATTTTAGAATTCCTATGTGCATGGTTCTTTTCTTTGTTACAGATTTTGGATAAATGATGTTTTCAAAGACCTTGCTGTGGATTTTGTGCCCTTTCAAAGTTGGTGAGTTATTTTTTGCTACTTCATGTTTTAGGTTATTTCCAATTTTATCATTTGATTGTTTTCATCATCTTGGGAATTTCTTTTCAACAAAAACCAATACATTTTTTTCTTGAAGAAAAAAAAAAGAAGAAAATTGAATGATGATTTTATTACCGCCCCAGTCCGAAATCTATGACTGATTGGTGATTCTGATCCTTTTCTTTCATCTTTATTGATTGACTTGAAAAAAATATCCGTGCTACCTACTATTATTTTGATTGTCTTTATTACCCCAAGAAACATAGTGGTTTATAATAGGGATACATAAACAATATATATAATGTTATACATACAATTATGAAATTATAATAAGATATAACAAGTAAAAAAAAAAAAGCAAATAATCATGCATGTCTTTCATAATAGGTATTCAAATAAGAAATGGAATTATCAAAGTCTCTGAAGCAGATATTTTTTCAAGTTAATTTTGAATCCAGTTGCTTCCTGTATATTCCTCAATTTACTTGGTAATGAATTCCTGTGTGAAAAATGGATTGTTTGCTGATATTTGACTTGAACGTATTTGCTATTAGTAAATTTGATTGTCTTGTTCCATGATTATGTAATGAATTGATTTCCTTGAAATTTAAATTCGAAATTTTCAATTTAAATAGGACAAATTGAATAAAACAACATATTTTAAGTTTATATAGTGATGTCAGATCTAATAAATCTAGGTTTGTTCGAGAAAATTTAAATTGAAAATACAATGTTTCATTTTGTAATTTCATTAGTGGGCTCAAACGTGAAATATTGGTACTTCCTCATATAGATATTAGGTATTGAAATTTTGAGTAAATAAGAGAGAAATAAATACTCTTCAAGTATCTAGTAGAAATGAAATTTCGTATTTGTAATGTGATTAAGTTTGTTTCTCAAATGATCTATATGTTTATTCTACAATAGTCGTTCATCAATATAAAGACCTAGAAATTTTGTAACATCTGTATATTTGATGAGTCTATTGTTGAAGGATAGTGTTCTATTTCAAAAGTTCAGTGTTCTTTTTGCTATGTACATATATGAGGATTTGTTATTATTGAGAGATAGATTATGAACTTGCAACCAAGAGGATATATTCTCTAAATCACTTTTGTCCATGATAATATTATTTGAATCTTCAGAGAAATAAATCAATTTCGTGACATCTGCAAATAATTCAAGTTTTCCTCTCAATGCCAAGTTTGATATTGAATTTATGTAGATCAAAAATAAAACTGGTCCCAAGACTGACCCTTGCGGTACATCGCATGAGATGTTCATTAAGGAGCTACAAGTACCACTATCCATATGTTAATGGTTCTTTCTTTGTTACAGATTATGGATAAATGATGTTTTACTGTTCACTCACTGGTGAGTTGAAGATTTTATCTTTCTTTTGAACCCAGTTTTTCATTCGAAAATGAAAAAATGTATTTATATGATGAGATTTCATTGAAAGAAGTAATTTGATTTTCTGACACATACAAATTACAATGTTTTTATCCAAAAGGATTCTGATTATATCTTGAAAATTACAAGGTGAATTCAAATGGATCACTCATAATTTAATAATTTGTATTTTATCTTGCAGGAATCATCGAACAATTTTGAAGATAGGTTCATCTATATTGACCGTGAGTATTCTTTCAATTGTTCTTTTACTTGAAAGAAAAAGTTTTTTTGTGATGATTTTTTTACCGCCCCAGTCTGATCCTGATGACTGATTGGTCAATTCTGACTCATTTATTTTGAATCATTTTTGGATTACCTGAAATTTATAATTTCATGCAACATTTTTTGTTACAGTTTTTTATCCCGGACATGTAATTGCTGAAAGTTTGAAGCGAGAACAAAAATACTGGTGAGTATTGAATAACATTGATTTTTTTCTAAGAAAAGTTTTTTCATCAGTAAATATTGGATCTACTACAATACAATCATTTTGTATAATAGTAGATTGTTTTATTAGGATCAAAAGTGACACTTTGTTTGACAAGCGAATTTTGCATTTGCGAGGCGGAGCGTTCAGCGAAGCCGAGCGAAAGCAAAACTTGCGAGTCGAACAAAGTCACTTTTGATCCGAATGAAACATGCTATTTTTTCTGCAACCGGAACAATTAACTCTAATAAACGTGTGGAGTAACCACCAATGCCGTGCCATATGTATGCAATGCAAAAAATATTGACAAATAATTCATGTGGTGAGAATATTCTACCTGCATTAACAGCAGGTTAGGTTTTCTAGGATGTTCGAATTGTAATGGCAAATACCGCGACAGTGCCAGCTATAGGAACAAGACGTGGAAAATGTTAGGTTAGTGAGCATATCAACAATGATAATAGTGATTATTTATTCCTCTCCATACTACACTGTGTTTGATTTGATAATCAAATGAAGCTAAATAATATCGTTTTTTGAGACAAAAAACTATTGCTTGCCGTGATTATTCAAAAGTCATCCATCCCGAGAATAACGAATGAAATACAGATCGAGCAAGTATTTGAATCTTGGAGGCTTCCATGATCAAAACGAAAATACTGAGATGTTTATAATTCCAATACTAAACTATAATAAGGTGTATTTATATCTCCAGCATGGGTATGAAATGCCAAATCTGCTGAAATCGGAAACAAATGAGGTATGCGTCTCAACCCAAATAACAAACCGTCACAATGTTGTTTATTCTTGATGACGTCCAGTAGATCCTTTTTAGTTCCTAGGAGCTAAAGTTCAACTTTAGCTCCTAGGAACTAAAATTCAACTTTAGCTCCTAGGAACTAAATATGTTGCCTAGCAACATACCTATTTTTGTGTCAGTAATAGAAACGTCAATTTAAGAGCTAATTTTGGTATCAAAATGGACGACTTTTGTGTCGGTTGCAGAAAAAAGGTATTGTACTGTCATGCAGTACTCTACGTAATATCATGTTTTTTTGCGATAAAGTTTTTTAAGAAGTTTTCATGATGATTTTTTTACCGCCCCAGTCTGATTCCGATGACTGATTGGTCAATCCTGATTCATCAAAAAATTCATGTTCAATTACATTAATTCTGACTGGATTGTTACATGACCAATCTTCTCCATTACAGGTTTTGGACGTTTTATTTCTGGACTTCAGTTCTCATGAAGGCGTTAGATCCAGTACAAAACATTTTTCTAAAGGTATGGTATTGACTTTGTGTAGGAACATTTTGAGTGAAAGTTCTACAAGATTTTTGAATAGTTACATCAGATGAATTTGTAGCAAATTATATTGATCAGAATATTGTAAAAAGTCATTTCACTTCATCACTTTCTAGAGGGGGTCTGAATGTTTATTTGTCATCCCATTTTGAAAAGCCGTTTTTCAATAATTGAAGAACATATATACAGGGTGTTCCGGTGATCATGTTACAAACTTCTAGGGTAGATAAAACACACGAAAATAACAAAAAAAGTTCATGTGAACATGGGTCCGGAAATGCTTCTTCAGGGAGCTAGGGCCCTTCGAAGATGACCTCCAAAAACAACTTTTCGTTTTATAGCTTCGGTACTACTGCAGCTATCGCAACCAATTTTGGGACATGAAATCTAGTTCGTAGGTTCATCAATTTGAGCCTTCCGGATTTTGTCACCTTTAACCAGGGGCGTACAAACCAGGGGGGTATTTGGGTAAATTTGACCCTACTCCTCTTGGGCTTTAATTTCTTACCATTTTTATATCTGATTATGATTCTTCAATGCCTTTGACATAAAAAAGGTACTCTTGTAAAAATCGATATCTGTCACCGTTTCCTCCGAAAATAGCTGAATAATAATAATGCTCACTATCTGTACTGAACCTCATTTTCATATTTCAACGTAATAATTGGTTTAAGACCAATAATTTATTATTGATTGGATTTAGCCAATTTCGGAGGAAACGGTGACAGAGCGATTTTTACAAGAGTACCTTTTTTATGTAAAAGGCATTGAAGAATCATAATCAGATATAAAAATGGTAAGAAATTAAAGCCTAAGAGGAGTAGGGTCAAATTTACCCAAATACCCCCCTGGTTTGTACGCCCCTGGTTAAAGTTGACAAAATCCGGAAGGCTCAAATTGATGAACCTACGAACTAGATTTCATGTCCCAAAATTGGTTGCGATAGCTGCAGTAGTACCGAAGCTATAAAACGAAAAGTTGTTTTTGAAGGTCATCTTCGAAGGGCCCTAGCTCCCTGAAGAAGCGTTTCCGGACTCATGTTCACATGAACTTTTTTTCTTATTTTCGTGTGTTTTATCTACCCTAGCAGTTTGTAGAATAATCACCGGAACACCCTGTATATATTTTAGTCCTTGTTCAGTAAATTTTCGAATTTTATGTAAAATGTTAAATTTTGTTTACTTCATTATAATGAAAAGTTGATTTTTTATGATGATCATTTTTTTGAGAAGTAATTTGATTTTCTGACACATACAAATTACAATGTTTTTATCCAAAAGGATTCTGATTCCCTTCTATCTATGTCTATTGAATTAATTGAAATATTTGGTTTTCCATCAACTTTTTTTTCTTCTAGTGTCAAAAAAATGGGTACCTACTCATCTTCCAACGAATGGGACAACCATAGCAGGTGAGAGATATTGAAAAAATTATTATTTTTCCGTGGTTCTTCAATTTTTCAACATGATGAGTAATACTTAGGACACCTAAAGATGTTCCATGATTAGAAAACTGTATTTTTTATCTGACAACAAATTAGAATAATTTATTTCAATAAAATTATTGTATTATAAATAGGAACTAATGAATTTTTTATTTTTAGCAAGCTGATATGAATCAATCAGCGGGAACTTTTGTCTTCATAAGATTGATTTGAAGGGTAAGTTGAGCTGTGAAAAATACAGGGTGATTACATTTTTTCCATCAATTAATTTTTTCGGAAAAAATCGGATCACCCTATATAGTTGATTATAATGTTGATAATCTTTATGGTTTATAAATCTTAAGACACCTACGAGGAACATTGATACAACAAAGTTTAATTTCACAAATGTTACAAGATTATTCCTATATTTCCTCAACTTCAATATTTTATTTCCAAATTGTGCAAGATGATGGAAAAAACGATTTCTAATATCAATATCATCAAGGTGATTATTTTTTTTTATATATTGTGCAGTATATTCTATCATTATTTTGTTATAATAAAAAATACTTGATACACATAAAGATGTTCCTTGATTAATCAAACGGGATCTTCAATTTCTATTTGTTATCCGATTCTGATTTTTTTTTTTGGGCAATGATTGAACACAAAAATAATTTGCATTTTTTTGTAAAGAATATAGTTTTTTATTTATTTTTTGTTTGTTTTTTAAGTCAAATGCTGTTGAATATTGTTTCCTGTACAATATGAAAAGTCTTGATTACACATGATGATCATTTTTTTGAGAAGTAATTTGATTTTCTGACACATACAAATTACAATGTTTTTATCCAAAAGGATTCTGATTCCCTTCTGTCAATGTCTATTGAAATAATTGAAATATTTTGGTTTTCCATCAACATTTTGTTTCTTCTAGTGTCAAACAAATGAGTCCCTACTAATCTTACAACAAATGGGACAACCATAACAGGTGAGAGATATTTAAAAAATTTCTATTTTTCCGTGATTCTTCAATTTTTCAACATGATGAGTAATACTTAGGACACCTAAAGATGTTCTATGATTAGAAAACTGTATTTTTTTATCTGACAAGGAATTCGGATAATTTATTTTGATGAAATTATTGTATTATAATTAGGAACTGATGCATATTTTATTTTCAGCTTGCTAATATGAATCGTTTAGCGGGAACGTTCGTCTTTATCAGTTTGAGTTGAAGGTAAGTTGAACTGTGAGAATACAGGGTGATTGAATTTTTTCGCTCACCTAATGTTTTCGGAAAAAATCGAATCACCCTGTATAGTTGATTATAATGTTGATAATCTTCATGATGAATAAATCTTAGGACACCTAACGAAGAACATTGATTAAAAAGAAGTTTAATTTCTGATGATATCATCTTCACAAATTTTACAAGATTATTCCTATTTTTCCATTAACTTCAATATTTTATTTCCAGGATGAGCAAGATGATGGAAAACCCGATTTCTAATATTTGCATCACTATCATCAAGGTAATTAGTTTCTGTTATCTATGCAGTTTATTTTGTCAATATACAGTGTGTCCCAAATTCGATCCTCACCATTGGAATCTCAGTAACTATGAGAGATAGAGAAACGCTTAAATTAAACTAGCTTCAGTCATTCTTGAGTTATTTCAGAAAAAATGAAATTTTTGTTTTTCGAATATCTCAGAACCTATTGATTCTATGAAAAAATGACTTCAACATTCTCATAGCACTTTTCGCTGTTCTTTTCAATGGTTTTGTCAGTTTTCCATCATAATTTTAAATTTCTGAGATATCACCTACAACTTCGGTTTTTATTATGGACGCCATATTGGATTTTCACAGATTTGAAATCAGCATAAAATTTCCTTTCTAGTGATGTATCACAGTCACAGTTTTATCGCATAAAGAGTACTGCTTTTCAATTTTTTTTTTTTTTTTTTATGTCCAGTAGGCTATGCGCTAAACTCTCTATAAACAATAACGATTATGTGTTTTGGCACAACTTTCATAGAGTAGGCTTGGAGCCTAGTGACTTTTCGGTAAACGTCGAGAGAAAATACAAGTTAATTATTTCAGGGCAAACAATGCCGTACACAAAAACCAGTGACAGTACAAGGGTTAGGACCTGGTGATGATGAATGTCGTTCCGAGTTTTGTCACTGGTTCGTCAACCAGTGTGAAAGAATCGATATCGATATCTCGAAAATCAATTTGGTGCTAAGTTAATTACTACTCATGGACCTGTTAGATGGCCTCCAAGGTCGCCTGATTGTACGCCTCTCGATTTTTACCTGTGGGGCCACGCCAAAAATAAAATTTATGAAGAGCCAATTCAAGATATTGATGATCAACAGAGTTCATCTGAGAAAAGCAGCGAATCATGTTCGCTCGCGAATAATAAAATGTATCGAGAACAATGGGTGCCATTTCGAGCAGTTCAATTAATTTTTTTCAGTATTTGTATTATCCACCTGTTAAGTTATGCAAGAACATAGAACACAGATTCCATAATCTAAGGTAAAAGTCATGGTGGAGTGAAGTAGTAACTAATAACATAACATAATGAATTGTCGTGGAGATAACTTCGAGTATTATTTATTTACTGGACATAAAAACGAAAATTTGAAATCAGTACCCCAAATAAAATGAAACATTGATTGTGATACATCACTAGAAAGATGATTTTATGCTGATTTCAAATCTGTTAAAATCCAATATGGCGTCCATAAGAAGAATTGAAGTATAAGAATGTTGAACAAAACAAAAATACAATTTCTCAAATAACTCAAGAATGACTAAAGCTAGCCCGGATTTCTCAATAGATTCTGATTCAACATTGAATTTGCTACAACTTCGCCAATGTTACTGAGAGCCCTATGGTGAGGATCGAATTTGGAACACACTGTATTCTTATGATGAATAATACTTAGGACACCTAAAGATGGCCCCTGATTAAAACCATGTATTTTCTCTGATATACTTTGAAGCATTTCATCTTTTTTCGGAGTAATTTTGCAATGGGCTGACAATATTTTTCTTTTTTCTTTTTTAGAATTTATAGTGTTCCTTGAATCTTCATCATGGAATCAAACGGCAATTTATTGAAGGTGAGTTTATTTGAATTTGGTATTGAAAATTTTGTTATCCGTTTTAACGTGATGAAAATTGCATTTTCCTGATATACTATGAGAGTTGATTAGTCTTTCTGATTTCTATTAATTTGTCATATACAAACGAAATAATAGTCTGCATTGTAGTAACATTGTTTTGTTTTTCCAGTTATTTTTTGAGATGAACTACTTTCATGGAAAACTACAAGCAACTTGGACAGACAAATCTTCGTTCAACTTTGGTGAGCATTAAAACATTTTGTAGATTTTTTCCAACTGTATTTTTCTATGATGATAATTGATGTTGCCAGCTGAGCAAAATGAAGATTGAACTTCCTTGGATGTCTGACTTATTTCTCACTATAATAATATGACATTGTTGTTCCATTTCATTTGATTATTCATTATAGTTAATTTATTTTCAGATTCAAGAGAGGTTTTGTTGATGGGAAATTAGTCAAAAGGTTAGTTTACTTATGTTTTATTTATTTATATCTACATTTTCCCGCTTTCTCATGATGACAATGGATGTTGCCAACTGAATTTTCTGAAGACCTATTCTTCCTTGGATGTCTGATTTTTTTCTCACAATAATGATAAGACATTGTTGTTCCATTTCGTTTGATTTTCATTTGAGTTGTTTTTTTTTCAGATTCAAGAGAGGTTTTGTTGGTTGGAAATTAGTGAAAAGGTTAGTTTACATATGTTTTATTTATTTATGTCTACATTTTTTCCCTTTCTCATGATGACAATGGATGTTGCCAACTGAATTATCTGAAGACCTATTCTTCCTTGGATGCCTGATATATTTTTTTCTTTGATCAATATTTTACTGAATTTTAAACCTAATTAATTAACTCAATTGTTCTTACAGAATTTGGATGTGGACTGTCTATGCTTGCCGTGGAGAAAAGATGAACTTTTTTGCAGAGTACTCTACTATTTTCAAGGTAATACAAATAGATTTTTTCAATAGACGGAAAGTTATTCTTTTTGAATTTTTTGAAGCATTGTTAAGAATTCAACGCCTTTTTATGACCAAACGATATTGAAACAAGACAAACTTTTCAGTAATTATTTTTTCAATGATGATTGTTCTATCACAGACCTGTTCTGATTCCTGTGATGACAATAGAACGGCCAGCTGAATATATTATTTCCATAGAATTCCACTTTCTATTTTTGGATGCGTGGGTGCTAATTTTGGTTTCTTTTACAGCAATTTTACAACTTTGGACATGGAGGGGTTAACAAGACAGCAATATCAACAAAAAATGTAAGACTTTTTCTTCTTTTGTGTTATTTAATGGATGACCAGTATCTTCTATTTGCAATAACATCATTATTTCTTATTGATTCTTGGTCAGGTAATATATTATTATTTCTACCGGATTTGTGTACACAAATTCAGATAGGTGATACAGAATCAAAAGAATGCTTTCTTCCTCAGAAGTCAACAATCAATTTTGTGGCTCACTATTTTATTCTAAAATATACAGTGGCTACTTATTTCTAGACGTCGGCTTACATAGAAAGAAAGTGTAGCAGATTTGAAGATAACTTTTTGTATTTTCTTGGTGCATTTTTGTAGGTATGTTCATCAAAAAAAGTTTGCTCTTTTTGTGAATACATATTGCCTATGAAAATCTGGACAACCTTGTATGCGCTACATTGCATAACGTTTTTTTTTTTTTAATTATTTTTTAATGATGATTGTTCTTTCACAGACCTGTTCTGATTTCTGTGATGACAATAGAACGGCCATCTGAACACTTTGAATTATTTTCATATCTTCTTCTTTCTGATATTGGGGTACTGAGATTGTTTTATTTTTTCACAGAAGTTTTGCAACAAGCGTACGTCCATGAGCTATGGGGGTTGAGAAAAGTGCACTATTGAACAAAAATGTAAGGTTTCATACTTTTTCACTCCATATTATGTTATATTCTTGAAGTTACATCAGTTACTCATGGTGAATGTATGCACACAGTCATCTGTTGCTTTCATTAACTGCATCAGGGTTGGCACGAATTAATTCATATGAATTAAGTCAGTGATTTAATTCGTGAATTAATTCAAAATTTATCAAATGGGAACAAATCGCATTATTACCTTCAATTTAAACTAGTTTAAAATGAAATATCCGATGGCATCTGACAACTGACAACCGTGAAGCACCACACGCGGAAAACAAAATTTTCTAAGAGCCGCATTACAGTTTACAATTTTTCATTGCATGCAATTGATTGCTCCAATGGGGAAGACCACTGAGGGAAGAAATCCGTGCAAACCTCTTTCAATCGACGAATCATGATTTATATTTTATGTACAGTCAATATTATGAGTTGAAGTTGAAGGGAATCGAATCTATATCGTTTTGAAATCAGCATATTTCATTCGATATTTCAAACAGCCAAATATGATGGTGGAGTCGTGACGTATTAGTCCCGAACTTTAGCTATCTCTCTCTGATACCTCGGCATTCTGCAGTGTTGCAGTGTAATTGGTCAGTTCAAGGACAATAGGCGTGTTGGGACTAAGACGTCGCACCAGTCACACCAATGAATTGATGAAATTTCAAATGGCGCAGGAATTGTGTGTATTGAAATGGACATACAATTAATTTTTTTCATCGTCTTAGCATGAATGAAAAAATTCAAAATTAATTCACTGGTAGTTTTTCAGTATAGAGTTCACGATAATGTCGTTTTAAAAAATCAGTGGTCTTCCCCATTCATATTTCCAGCAAAAATAATATGTAGGCTTTTCAACACTGAATCGGAATTACCGGCGTACAATGTCTTTTTTTCATAGATTCTGTGTATTACTTCTCACCGAGTTTTGATTTGGGTCAAGAGTTGGGTAGAAGAAACCATGAGAAAGGCAAGAAAAGTAAGATCCAATGTGTATCTAATGATGCGTGAAATTCCGAAAATCTGACATGTCACCACTAGAATGGGCTTATATCACAAAAAATTTTTATTTAATAATTCGATAGAACTCACCCAAACTAGCTCACCACAGCAAACCGTTTCTTGCTGTGAGCTCCCTACGTTTTATAAAAAATTATTGAAATCCCCGATTTTTCGGACCTCTGAAAACGAGGCGATGATGTGACGTCAAAACCCTAATACTGAAACAAGACTATTCCAGACAGAGATGAATGGTACATGATTTCTGACAGAGTGAATTAGCGCGAGATCACAGTTGAAAGAATCAATATATCAGTTGCCTCAGTCTCCGTCGGGCGTTTGGTGTTTTCTTTTAACTATGGAGAGATGAGGTTTCTACGTCATAAGAGGGTCCGTTTTCAGAAGGTACTATCATTTATGTCCAAAAATAAAACATTCCAGTTAATTTTTCGATCGAATTATGTTGTCAATCATTATTTATGTATAAAAGGATCATTATAAACATGGTTTGAGTTAAAAGCTCTACCAAGGTGTACACGCCCATTGCACCAGTGATACAAATTACCACAATATAAATGAATAGGTCCGGACTCGTTTCTTGCAATGCAACGAAAAATTGTTTTCCAAGGTGACACCAATCCGTAGGCGCGCCATGAAAATTGCTGCATTTTATTGAAAATAACTGTAAAGCGCCTCTATAATGAAGATTGTGAATGAATAATATAATTTGCATAAACATACTTTTTCATTCAATCGATAGTCTCAGTTTATATTGCAAAAATTGCATATTTTAAGTATTTTATTGTCACGCTTCGAGATTTTTAACGGAAATAAAAACTTAGTCTTCGATGTTCTTGTATTTTGTTTAAGTAAATAGAATTTGATTTGTACTCGAATGAATAAATTAAAAAAAGTCCGAATCAATTCAAAAAGTCAGACTTTTTAGACTTTGTTATAAAACTCATGACTTATTCCAACCCTGACTGCTATTAAGTTTATTTTTATTTGAGGACTGATACCTTTATGCACCACCTTCTTTTAATTTTAAATTCTTCTTCATCAAAACTAAGTCCTCAGCGACATACGACTAGAATTTTCAGAATTTCCAACCACTTTTTGAAAAAAGAAGAGGAATAAATTGTTTGTCTGATTTCTGACAGAATCGCGCCTGCGCAAGCCACAGTTCTATTTGTTTAGGTGCATAAATGAATGAATGAACACGACTATCAAGTTTTAACTTATTAGTGAAATCGTTAATTGTTGTGAATGTGCATAAATCCGCCTTCAATGTGTGTTTGATATTTTAATTGTGAATGGAGATTTTGAAGGATATTCTGATTGAATTTTATGTTAGCTTTGTTGTTGAATCAATTCCTTGTTGCATTTTGTAGATTTTTAGGAATTGATTCATGACCAATATTCTATTCAATTTTTGTATTGTTAATGGTTCTATGGCTGCCACTTTTTTTTTTAAATTATAGATGTCTGAATATTTTCAGTGATGGAATTTCTTACCCATTTTTAATGATGATTGTTCTATCACAGACCTGTTCTGATTTCAATTATTGATGCCAAAAGAACGGCCAACTGAATGAAACCATTAACAAATCAATAGTTGGATTTGTTTTGATTTTTGTATTGATTGATTTCATTTTATTTCAGCATGCTGTAGTAATCCTATTGCTGAGGTACGAGAAACTGAGAATACACTAGGTGAGTCTTGAAAAAGTTATCAAGCTCATTGAGTTTCTTCAAATTTAGTTGTACAATGATGACATTTTACACCCCAGATAACTGTGATGGATGTAAATTTTTATAAGCTCAACAGGTCTGACCGTTTGCTAATAATTTTTTTCTTTCATCGTTTTAAAGTCCATCTTGATTTTATTTTTTTTTGTTACAGGATTCTAGAATGATAGCTAAAAAATTGGAGGCCAACTTCATTATGTGAGTATATTATATCATGTGTGTTTCCAAATAACTAACATTTTGAAAGGTTGTGAAAAAATTACCTATATTTCCCTATAAAAAAAGATTTGAAAAACGAAGGTCTCGACTCTTTTTTCAAATTTCAAAAGATGAAGCTAAACAGGGTGGCCAAATCTGACTTTTTCAACGGAAAAGTCTCATTTCCACACTAGGAAGCCGGAAACTCATTGGTTATAGGTATTTTTCGCGAATGTGGATTTCCATTTTTTTTTTTATAGAAGAAATTCATTGAATTCCATGTATGGAATTGCTTCGGGAATGTTTTCATACGAATATTTTACAGGAAAAAAGTTGTGCAACTCTCCACATTTGCCATTAAACACCTCATAACTGAAAAAAACCTATTTCATCTATCCAATTTGAAATATTGAAAGTGTGGTTAAATTAGAGTTTAATTTTCATGATGACATTTTTGCACCAGATAGCTGTGATGGTTGTAACTTTGCTCAACAGGTCTGACATCTCAACTAATAAAGTTCCTATTTTCTCTAAATTTTCCAGTATTGTCACGATTTTTTTATTGCAGATTTTCAATATGGGAACAATCTGCCAATCTGACAGGCGAGAATATGACTTGATAAAGGGCAATTCGTAAGTATTAATTTTGTTTTTTGAACTATATTTCCTGTGTGAGTTTGGAATGTTTATAATTGAAGTATATTTTATTTGGTTTGTCTTGAATTCTTGATAAAACATGATGATTGTTCTCACAGACCTGTTCAGAATTTCCAGTGAAGACGAAAAGAACGGCCAACTGATTGAAAGAAAACTCTGTTATAACTTATTTAACAAGATTTGTCCATTTACTAATTCTTTTCTTTATTTACAGATAGCCAGCCAGAAGACATTGAGGCATAATTGTTTGTCCGATTCCTATGATCTAAATAATTTATTGTGATATATCCTGTGAAGAAGAGGGAAACAATTCTCATGTGCTAAAGTTGATTTTTTGAAAATTATTACTCAGCAGAGTTTTTTCCACTTCGTTAAATAATCTGTATTTATTACTAATTATAGTTAAAAGTTCACATATTTCTTGGTTTTATTTCAAGATTCGATAGGTTTTGCTAAAGAACAACCGATAAGAAACGAAAAGACATCTTCTTGTGGAGAAAAATTGTGACGATTTGTATACATGAATTTTATTGAACCCCCTGGATTGGATATGTTCGGATAACTTATAAACACTGAATTGCTAATATCTTCGCTATGGCCTGCTCAGTCGCAGAGATTCCTAAAGTATACCAAACATGAGAAAATATTTTCAAATGGAGAAATGGTGATATTTTAACTAAGAGAATTAATAATTAGAACTGAGGATAACATTGGAAGAAAATTAGTTATTCGTTTTACTAGGCAGAAGGGCTTTTTTAATGTCATTTGGAGATATCTTCCGAGAGCAGGAAAGGAAATTCCTATAATGTTCCTGGAACATCCTGCGTATCTAGGGAAGATAGGGAGAGGCCTTTTAAGCCACTTCAATACTATTTTTCATATTAAGCTAAGCATATTACTACTACTTAACTATATTTTTTGATGTTTTTAGAAAAAAAATTGTGAGTGATATACTTTGCCTATCTCGACTGCGCCTTGTTAAAAAAAAAGACAGTTCTTGATCACCAAAGTAGCGTTTCGCGCACTAGATACAAAAATAGCTATTGTTGGCCTTGTACTGAATCATGTTTTTCCTCATGCAAGTTACAAAGTAATGAAACATGAAAATAATAATCTTATATTGACATAATATTATAATATAGCTACAACATTCGATAATCATAAAAAAATATTCTGAGCTCAACCCTTGTTCAACATAATACAGGTTAATTTGTTCATACGTCACATTTTAAATAATCTAAGTACAGACAGACATTAATGTATCAGTGACAGTTTATTCTTGTATAATCTTACCAGAGTTTTGGCGGCAAGAAAAATCACCTCTTTCCTTGAAACACCTGAGATGTGTTGTTGCCAATTACTTCTTGCCTTGAAAACAATATATAAATCTGTTAAAAACATCCAGGGAAAATGAGGGCTAATATTATTTATTGTCCACCAAAGCGCGCCACTGAAACGTGAGGTCAGGGTAAGTAGAACTGAAAAATATACTTCTTGTTTTCCTGTCATTTCGCATCTCCCTATAATTGAGCTCTTTTCTATCTTGAAAGAAAGAGGAAAGTTCTATCTTCCATCTATCTCTCTCTGCAATGCTACCAACGTGGCCGCATTGAAAAGAGAGGTCCGATAAATCTTTCCTTGTCTCTAACATCTAATTTGTGCCACTGAACTATTTTTCAATTCAGCAGAGTTTCAAATCAGTCAATGACATTCATGACATAGACATATCACGAATTTTAATATCGAAAATAGTTCAGTGGCGCAGACTTGAGGTTAGACAAGGAAATATTTATCGGACCTGTCTATATTTCAATGCGGCCACGTTGGTAGCATTGAAGAGAAAGATGGAAGAGGAGAAAACTTTCCTCTTTCTCGTTCAAGGTAGAAAAGAGCTCAATTGTCTGCTAAATATGGAGAAAAAATCTAGTGAGCTCCCTAGATTTTTTTCTCTATATTTAGCAGACAATGCTCCCTATATCTTCTCCGTCAATGTAAGAATTCAAGAATTGGTGGTAAAGTTCCGCATTGAGAGTAAAAAAAAAAGGTAAGTCGGCCCAAGTTTTTTGACTTGAGGTTTTCTATTTGTTCAAATAATCTAACTTTTTTGGAATATTAAGCAGGTCATGTCTTTAGGGCTATCCGGCAAAATTTCTTACTTTGACACTGACATCACGTTGAAGTAGTGCCAACTTTACAAAATAACATTCATAACCATAACTAAGGTGAATAGAATATGGTGTAATCACAGTGTTTTGTCAAAGAGGAGAGGGGAAACCTACTATTCTTTGGTTTTGTTTCTCCCAAAACGCTTCACCGCAGATTCCGCAACGGCATATTAGTTCTCAGTTGTCCGCAAGATGGCGACACTTTACAGATTTCATACATAACAAAAAACGGCGCTTACACACTGCTTGCACCAGAAATAATGATATCATAACATAACCTCAAATCAAATCAGATTAAATTTGAAAGTAATTTTGGGGAATTTTAATCATCATCAGTTCCATCAACTTTGGATTCGCCATCTAAGGGGTAAAATGGGACATATGTTCAGTGATGTTGAAAAGAATCCATTTGTCAGTAGGTCAAAAACAGTCATAAAAACAGTGATTTGATAGGAGTTTCTACACCACCATCTGTTCATCCTGATTATAACTTACTTGTGCAAAAATTGCCAGTTTCTCTTCAACACTCAAGGACTGAGTTTCAGGCATCTCACTTGTAACATTTTTTAGAAATTCCTCTACTGGGACTGGAGTAGCTTGACTGAAAGTCTGTACAGTTATCTGTTTTTCCATATCCTTCAGCACCAAGATGGTGAGATCAAACCACCTGAAAAACAAAATCTATGTAAACTTGGAAGTAAATAAGTATGAAATCTCAACATGAACTTCACAAACAATCTTCATCAAAAAGAAGAAATAGGTAGGAATAACAAAAAAAAACTAGTTTGAGGAGGCTTGAAAAAGCTTAGAGATACCTGGAGATACTAAGAAAATCTGAGATTTTTTTGAATGAAGTAAACAGTAAAAATGATGATGTGCTGAGATGCCAACCTCAAATTATGGTAAAATATCAGTTTTGCCATAGTAAATCCTATTCATTTTTTGCAAAAATCTAAAACATATTACATAGTAGTTTTGCTAGCTTAATGGAAGTAATTACATACTGGTACTCACTAGAAATGAGTTAACAAACAGATAAAACATGAACTTACTCATTATTTTCTTGTATCAAAATATTTTCCATGGCCACAGTAGGAGTATTTCTGTATTTCATTGACTGCTTGATGTTTTCTTCTGCATTCCTTCTTCCACTCTCAAAACCAATGGCTTGGGATCTTTTTCCAGGAATATTCAACTTGATCCCACTGAAAAATTATGCATTTTTTTCTCCACCACACAATTCATGAAAAATTATGCTTACTTCACCCATGCTTTTCCAAACACTGAATGGAATGCTTCTCTTATTGCTCCAACTTCATCTTCATTATCAGAAATTACTGTTACCTCAGTTTCACCTTCAGAATCTGTTGAAAAAACAGAAAAAGCATTTTTTAACAATGCCAAAATTAGCCAACTCACAAATATATTCACTCATTTGTGGATCCAAAGTTGTGATAATAGAATCCACAGAACTCTTAGCTTTCTCTGCCATTTTGGACAGAACTCCCCCACTGGTGAAGGCCTCTTTGAAGTAACCCATAAAACCACCAGGAACATCTTTCTCATTTGCTTTGTGGTGAAGAGTGGGGCCCAATTGAATACCTTTACTGGGTGGAATAGCAGCACTTAAGAAGGAAGAACTTTGCTTAAGTTTCAGTTGAATTTATCAATGAAGAATTTGATAAGATTAAATTTGAAACATATTCTGGCTTACCTGAATTGTGTTCTTGGAAACTGTTCATTTTCTGGCAATGGCAATGGATTCACATTATTAAGTGTTGGTTGAGATCGAACTGCTGGGATTTGGGGAACACTGGTAACCCCTACAGTTGGGACATCAGCAAAAGCTGGTTTGGCCTCTGGTGCAGCTGTTGGCCATACTTTGAAATCAGGTAGGGTAGCTGGAGGAGGCACGTTTGCCAACAAGTTACCTGGTGGAGATGACATTGAGAATCCTGATGATACTGTACTGGTGGAACCTATATGGGAATTCTTTGCAGTCTGGGAGTCAAAGTAGAATACAAATATGGAGGATTTACCTGTTTTCTCTGAGGTGTCATGAACTATTTCAAAGGAAGACTCTCCATTGGAGTCCTCTTGTAGCATTTCTGTGTGTGATTTCCGGATTCGAAGGATATCAAAGGTTCATCTCATCGTAATCCCAGATATCAAATAAAGCTTGATTGAGGATTGTTGAATTGTTGATTGTTCAATGTTGAAACTTTAGTTTGAAATGTAACATTTTAAACAAATAGTATTGAAACTGTTTAACTGTCACTGTCAAGTGTCAATCGGCCTTTTTATCTAGATATATTTTTGAGACGCATGCGCTCATTTTTAGATCCAAAAATTCATTGGGTAATGCGAAGGTGAAGTCATTGGCTATAGTTCCAACACAAATTGCTGATTGGCCATTTCGAATATAGCGGGTATTGTTGACGTTTTGTCAAATGTCAACAGTGTCAACTACCATGGGCATTCGTCATTGAGAAACAACAATAACAACGTATTTTTGTTTTTATATTCCTGGTGTGTACTAATTGTATTATAATAACTCAATTCCAAAAAACTTACTTGCTCGTTACTGAGGAGTGTTGTACTATGGTGTAAGTGTTTCGGTAAAAATGGCCGCCACTGTCGTTGGATGCAAGATGTAAACAGTAATAGACATTTCTCATCTAAATAAAAAGGCCTATATCGAACTGTCATGTCATGACCACCTGACATCACCTGATGTTTGAGTTCAATGCCTTACGAACACTGGACGATGACAATGTGTTACTACTGTGACACCAAAGAATATAGTAGGTTAGTCACCTCTCCTCTTTGGTGACCCAATGCATAATCATCTTCCTCCTCTTATTTCTTTCCCTTACCGTCTTATGGCCTAGTGGGATATGGTGGGATCGTCGTAAATGTAAATGTCGTATCATAGGCAGGATCAGGATCATAGGCTAACAAAAAGATAGGAAGAAGACCGCAACTGCAATCTAAGCTGCTCAACAAAAAATGTGAAATGGATTATTCTATACCTACTGGTCTATAGTTTTATGCAATGAACTAAATATGGTGTTCATATTGAGTTCATTTGTTTCATGTAGCTATTCACAGAAATAACTAATGATTGCCAGTTAATGAATATACTTTTGTGCACAAAATTAGAGGAGAATTATTATGGAATAATTACAAAGATTATATACATTTCTCTGATGACATTTATTTTGGAAAGAAAACAATATATAACAATGGATTAATAACAATCAAACTATATTTGCGTATATATATGTGGTCGTCTTATGCAAAGATGAAACGCACATACCATAGGTAATAGTTTTTCCACCCTAGTAGAGATATGTGTGTAAGTCTAGTATACACAAATTATATTCCTCCACGTGCCATATAGTGCGCCATCCAGAAACGATAGCCCCCCCGTATTGAAAGAGATTCATTCCATTAGAGGTTTCATTTGTACCCATATATTATGTTCAGTGGTATTCGAACTGATATTCAGGAGGTAATTCCAGTGAAGCAACAGAGGGTTTGGATTCCCTGAGCTGGTATGGTGGCGGTGCCAAATTATCCTCAGTTTGCTTAGGATTTTTATCAATGTCATCTGTGTTGATACAAGGACCTGTTGAAATGTATAATCAGCAAAAAAGTGTCATCTTGTAATGATTTTCTCTACTTTGGTTTTCCAAATATAATTTCGTTGTCGATCGATTTTAAGTCTTCATTTTCATTCATGAAGAATACTGGGCGACTTTGAGAATGAATATAGTTATTATTACTCTTTTGATCGATTTTTCCAAACACAAATTCCAAATACATTATCTACACGACGATTTATAATTGAAAATTTGGACAATTCTGATATAATCATATTTTTAAATCTTTTTAAATCTTCAAAACGACTGATATGCTAGTAGGTAGGTACTTGAGTTTTTTTTTAAAACTGAAGAACCTATTTTGAAATTTGTGGTATCACGTTCAAATATTGTATCCAGAGGTATTTCAGCTACGCCTGAATCGAAAAAATTGTCGTTTAGAAATCTTGATCCCTTCAACAAACAATATATAGTATATAGGACTTGAAAAATATGAATATTTCAGATTCATTCACATTTTCGAAGAATTCTTGTATCAAATTTGGAAAATTACTCAATGGATTTCAAATTTTACAGGGTGATTCAGAATTTGATGTGAATACTTCAAGGACGTATTGTTGGGTTCAAAGTAAGACTTTTTCTTTCATATAAACGTGTGTGCAAGTATTCTAGTACTGCACACCTCTGGAATAGCAGTCTCAAATGCGTTCCGACAAACGATAACCTCCGTATGTAAGCGTTTATGTAAGCGTTTGATCCATTGCGTTCGAAAATGATGTGGTGACTTTCCCTTTCGGTGAAAACGATTTTACTGCAAACGGTTAGTTGTATGAGAAAAATGCAACAGACAGAATTGTTACATTTTTTCATGATCCCCACGAGATCACACTTTTCAAAGTCAGAGTTTCTTTGTTTGAACATAAAATTTGGGCCAATAAAACTGTGGAACCCCCCCCCCCCAACTCCCTCAAAAATAGGTTTAAGTTTGAGTCGTTTTTGAAGCAAGAATGAAATAAAGTGTCTGAAAATATAGGGGCATGCCAATTTTCAGAAGATTTTAGCCGTTATTATTTCAGTTGAAATTTTGAATAATATTTTTTACCTAACCCACAGTGGTTGTAGGTCGGAGGAGGTGCATTCAGTACACAACACAACAAAAAGTCTTATTTTGATCCCAACAATATGCCCTCAAAATATTTACATCGAATCACCCTGTATAATTGATATGTTTTTAAACAGGAAACACGAGATTATGAAAATTGATGTGAGAATTGAGAATAAAAAAATACTGAATAAGAACGTTCTTGATTCATTGATTGATTATCAGTTTTCAGACAAAATCGGTTATCATTTTATGAGATTGAGTGATGCGATTTGCTCATTCAGGTTGTCATAGAATTTATCAAGTTTTTCGAGAGCAATAATTATAGGTATCGAATATAGATTTTACCTGATAAATATTCCCTATCAATGATGAAAATAGATGTATCACTCGTTGTCGTAGTGTCTACATTTGAATTTCTTCTTTTATCTGAAAAATCAATTTGGTATATACAGCGTGTCTCACTTTAAACGGCCCCCCTCTATATCTCAGTTATACGTCATGCGATTCCAACCAAATTTGGTGTGGTATGAATAACCATCGATATGATCAGTTTTACAGAGATGCACATTATTTTGAACAGTGCCGTGCGTTTTTATTGAACTAAAAAGGGGTCGATTTTTCATAAAATCATATTAGGCATTGTTTTACAGGAAATCTAACCTCATATTATTGTTCCTCATGCTTTCGAACCCCCATATGCAAAAATCACCTCACTCCGAATTAACAGAATTGGCTTCATTTTTTTCATTTTCAGTCTCGAATAAATAGTGACTTCGAATCAACTACGCGAATTTTGGAACATTCAATGGCTCCGGAAGGTAGAAAATCATTATTCGGAAGGATAAACGAGTTATACTTTTTTATGTTGAACTCACCGTTTCCGAGTAAATAATTATAACGTTCGCAAAAATGCTGTTCAAATATGCCTGTTTTTCTGAAACCCTTCATAGGCATCTTATGAAAATCCACATATGTGGATTTGAAACCATGAAAAACAATATTATGAGGTCAGTTTTCCTGTGAAAAAATGCCTAATATGATTTAATAAAAAACTCTGGCCCCTATTCATTTCAATAAAAATGCACGGCACTGTCTGAAATGATGTTTGTCTTTGAGGAACTGGTTATATTGATGATTATTCATTCCGATACAAATTTGGTAGAGATCGCACGACTGATAGCTGAGAGGGGGGACCGTTTGAAATGAGACACGCTGTATATTATTCATAGTCATGGCAGAAAAATATTATTGAGAATATAAGATGTATCGAATGAAACTTACTTATTATTTTTTCTGAAATTTTTAATGAGTCCTAATGAAAAAGAGACAAAAAAATGAAAAACAGTATTAATGAACTTCCTACTTACACAATTTTTTCACAAGCAAAATAAGCCCATATAACATAACGAAAATACAAATTGTTAAAGTAGTCAACAGGTTATTCGTCATTATTGCGTCAATGTCACCATATGTCACGTTGGCTACTATCGCTTGAATCGCTTTATCAAAGATAATGCAAAAGATCAATCAGTATTGTGTATCTATAGTAGTAGGGATATGGATGACGACGAATTCCTATCGAACCGTGAAGATCAATTTTTATGGAATTAGGTATCTACGAATTTTTAATTGGTTTAAGATGGAAACGGAAATGTCATTGAAGATTCTCACCATGAAATCTCCTACAGTTTTTGTGGTTTGTGTGTACCACAAGGACGTTTTTCATTTCCTAATAAACTATAAAAATCATCCATTTTTCACATATTTCATCTAAGATAGGTACTTAACGCATTGACGTTATACAGGGTGTTTCTTAAGTACGTGTAGAAAATTCAGGAGCATATTGCTGACGTCAAAATAAGGAGAAATGTTCGTATAAATAAATGTCCGAAAATTATTCGTTTCTGAGATACAGTTAAAATATATATCGCTGAGATGGAATAGAAGGTTCACCCTTACTATTCCAAGCAGGGAACAATGGGAAGAGAACAGTGGAATTCCGCCCAGGGAGTCTAGTATGTTACACGAACGGATCGCGCCTAACTGACAAACAGGACTCAGGTGCAAGAATTCACCTAGAAGGAATAGGCATAAGGGAGAGCTACTACGCTCTTGGAAAGTATACCACAGTTTTCCAGGCTGAGGTCTTTGCCATTCTGGCAGTAGCGGAGAGGCAAGAGGTGAAAGAGGGACCAGAGCAGAAGATTTACATCTTCTCGGATAGTCAGGCGGCTCTCAGGGCTATCTGCCATCCTAAACCAAGCTCAGCTTTGGTGCAGGAATGTGGCGATGCTCTTGAGAAACTAGCTGAACAGAAGGAAGTCGAACTAGTGCATGGGTTCCGGGTCACAGGGGGGTGCCCGGGAACGAGGTGGCCGACGAGCTGGCTAGAATCGGATCCGCGATACCGTTCTGGGGACCGGAGCCTGCACTGGGCATAACAAGAAGCTAAACTTCGTCTGCCCTTAACAAATGGGCGGACGAGGCACTAGAAGGATATTGGAGGCGTATAGGCGGTTGCAGGCAATCGAGAGACCTCTGGTGGCCGGTCCAAGCAATCTAAAGACGGATTGGTTACTGGGCAGGGATCGCCAAGTCCT